TGTGAAAATTTGCCATGACTTACGGTATAGAGTTTTATATGTTTGCATACTTCACGTTACCGTCAAGTTGTGGCCGCTTATCCTGTACAAATATACATGTACGCCATATGACGGACTCGCTCGTGGTTTTATAATGTAGCGCACAAACTACCAGACAGTTTCATCATCGGCTTCAGGCGATTTCTTAAGCCCTTGATGCATACTCAAGCTAAATGTGTGTCCTGCTTTCAAAAAATAATTAGGTATGTTTCTATGTATCATACAGATTTTGACATTGTCAGCGTAAAAATTATTCCAGACCCGAATCCAAACCAGACATAAAACCACAGTTTCACTTCTTAATTAATTGTTACGCAGAAGCTGTCTATTGGGTTCCATGCAGCATATTTTAAGTCTTTGGATCTTCATAATAAACTGGTGCCTTGTGTTCCTTCTATAATTTATTACATGGTGTTCACATACCAGTGACTCAAATTGACTCGAGCAAAAATTTGACTCAACTCGACTCAACTCGAACACAAACTGTGACTCGACCTCTTTGACCTAATGACTCGACTCGACTCAAGTCACTTCCTTAAAAAGACTCGAATCGACTCACAAAATTCAGTGACTCATTACAACTCTGAAGATGAAGATTGTGAAAAATATGATATTTGAGCTGTAGCAGTTTGTAAATTATGTATTATGTCAGTAACCTTACGTCTGTTGATACCCCAAATAGCACCTATACTTCTGTCTTGACTGTATAGTTCTGTTGGATAATGGAATACCTTCTAATGGTACACAACACTGCTTGCATTGACACATGGCTCACTGTGTCCAGTTTCTTGTCTTAAAATACATTTTCCTGTTAAAGGGAATGTGCATGATTGGCTTTTGCTGTAATTTTCGGAAATGAACTATTTGAGGGGTTAGGTATAATAGATCAAATATTGTTACACTGACATGTTTAAAGTTTTGTGTTCAAAAATGCTTGAAAAAACCAAGAAATAACCCAAAAAAATTTCAAGTAGTCTGGTTCCCTGACTCCACTAATGATGAAATGGATCAATTTATAGATGCTGGAAAATTGTAAGTTAAGGGAACCAGTGTAGCTGGCCTGCACCCATTCATGAACATGTTGTCAATAGCAAACTAAATTTGGACTGAAAAAAAAAAGTAAATTTGGAGCAGTAGTTGAAAATAGTTTTTCCAACGGTGGTCGGCCGACCACTGTTAGAAATTTATATAAAATACCACTTTTCTTGAAAATGACTTCACACCAGGTGCCAAAATTTTACAGGATGCTTTAGACTGGCATTTATTAACATCCTAGTAAGGTATTTCATAAAAATGTGATAGTGTTGTTTTTCGATGTTTGCAAATGTTGTATATTCCCTTTAATGTACACAAAGTAAAGAAAACAATGATGTGACATAAAAACATGGATGGGACATGTTCCTTGGTCCGAGTGTTTAGTCTGGAGTGAAATCAATATCCTACATCTACGCAGGTTGGTTTATTGATGTCAGGACCCTGCTCCAATAACATTTATGTACTAACAATGTTTATCAAAAAAAATGAAGAGGAAAATGACAGCAGGGTAAATGGGTTTAGGATAAACTTCAGCTGGCCAGTGGTAAACACTTGATGGAAGCTCTAGAGTGCAGTCGTCACCATCTGCTGAAATGGATTGACTTGTGTCCTAGTTGTTGAGTGGTTGTCTGTCCTTCGGCTCCCATAATAAACGTAAAGGATGCACTACAAGACTTTTTACACTCATTTTGCCTACCCATTCAAATATCAACATGGGTCTACTGTGAGCGTGGTTTATGTCTAAGACTTGATTTGATTTTTATTTTCCTACTGTAGAGTTGTAGACAACTCAGGGTGATGAAGCCGCATCGGCAGTAGAGGTTGCCATCATATAGGTCTCTCTCAAATGACGTCACTTCCTACAGAATGCCACGTGCATTAGGCCATCAGCCTGGGGGTTTGGCCACTAGAGTTAGTAACAAGCATTTAGATGGACATTTTGAAAAAAAGGGTGATAACACCCAAAAAGCTGCCACCGCTTAAATGCTATCACATATTTTCCAACTCTGGAGGTGTATACCTTGCCAAAAATCGCTATGACGATTATTCCCCTCATTTGATACTGCATGGTGGCCAAAATTTTGGACCGAGGCTGATGGCCTACATCGGCATTTTGGACGTCAAAATTTCATGACGCGCATCGGCTGCTCCGTGTTTCAAAGAAATTTCGAGCAACACGCGGGGGTTTAGAACATTTTGAATACTGCATGCTCACCCACCTGATGGCATTGAACATGAAGTTGTAATTTTCCTATGATTAGATGGCGTCCCATGAGAGAGATCTATACATGTAGGATTATCCCAAAGCAGCATTGAAAGGGCTAAATCTGGCCCATCGTGTCGATGAGATGCGGGCATAAACTGACTTTGCTCATTTCTCACTGATAGCCATTCTAAATTAATTGAATATAGAATTTTGTGTGTTCAGCCTCTGGGACCAGCTTTTTTCAGGCTTGCCTTGTCTTGTTATAAATCCTCAACCAGACTTTTGTGAAGCACTATGATTAAATTTAAAACTCACAATGGCTGCTTTACATGTAAATGGTTTCAAACAGCTTAACCCTCCTGCTGTTTAAGCAGTCACAGACAGTCAAAATTCACTTCCACTTCCCCTGCTATACTTTTAACAAAGGCTAGTCACCAACACTCAGATCATATGTCAAGCAAGCACCGTGACTAGTCACACTGAGTCACAGACAAAGCAGGCAAGTTGTGATCACAGCTGTTTTATCACCCACCCTGAGTCAAAGCATATCTGTATCAAGTTACTTAATCAGTAGGTACAGGTAAAGGGGACAAACCTGTGTTCACAGGAATGGAGTGCCCATCTCTCTTTCGAAGCGATTATTGGGCCAGACTCGAGTCCATGAAATGCTGCTGTGGGGGGATCACCACACCTCCTCCACAGCGAGGTTGCCTTCCCAGCATTGAATAATGCTGGTACCCATTTAACACCTGGGTTGAGAGGAGTCATTGAGGCAAAGTGCCTTACTCAAGGGCACAACACGCATGGCCACTGCAAGACTCTAACCCACAATCTCACAATCATGAATCCTATGCTCTACTGTTAGACCAACCACATGTGTACAAGGCAGTCAATCCTGCTTTATGTGTATGGGCTTGGAATTCTTAAGGGTTAAAAACAGTCACTTGATTGATTTTGACTGCAGGAACAACTAGGCACAGAATGTTTGTTTGCATACGAGGGTTAACGATGGGATAAACGATGGAAAACAATGTCCGATACTGGTACATCTGTAAAAAAAAAAAAAAAATGATTTGATGGCACCCACTTGTGTTCCAAGGAGGAAATGTTTCTCACACCAACCAGTTATCCTGTGCCATTATCACAAATTCTACAAATTTCCTGCAGGTGAATTAAGCTCAGATCCAACCCACGGATTTTTGATGACACATTGCAGGAACAGGTTTTTTGAATGTAGCCATTTTCCCCTCTAAACCAACTTGTTCTTCTCTGGAGTGTGCTGTATTTAGAACATGAAATATAATGTGCAACCCATCACATACATGTATGTTGGTGAACAGCACAGAAACACCTGTTTACGATGGAATCTGGAGGTGGGTCATTTCACTGGATTGGGACACAGTGTGTGACATATATGACCATATTTTGAAAAGTATGAATGCCTTGCTTGCAGTTGCTCTACATAATATTTGTTGGGTGTTTCACTACTGCCGAAAGTTTGAAATCATTTGAATGTGTTTAGCCAAAAATATGAGCAAAACTGTCATTGAATATTACGTCCAAATATTATATTTGTACCTTTTTTTACCCAAAACATTGCCCAAATTCACTTTATGTACTAGGCCTAACAAAAAAAAAAGTTCTGCTTCCAATTACATACCTTTCAAAAATAGGGTCGGTAGGTCGGCATTTGCTTGTAGTTTGTTATTACATATTGAAAAAACGTGAAGCCACGAGCGAACATAATAAGCGTGAGCTTGGCTGGCTTCGATTCATGAGTCCTCAATGTAAGTAACAGTGGGGAGATGGGATATGGACTAAGCCATAATACAGACTGCAACCGCGCCATTGTGCGCCAGGTTCAGCAATGGAATCGATTAAAGGGAAGATACAACATTTGCAAACATTAACAAAACGAAATGATCAAATTATCACAAAATACCTTGCTGGATCGTTAGGGATTGACAGTCTAAAGCATCCTGAAAAATCGTGGCTCCTGGTGTGCTGACATTTTCAAGAAAAATGGTATTTTTCCAATGCTGGTCGACCGACCAGCGTTGGAGAAAACTGGCTTTTTTTCAAAACTGCTCCTAATTTTTCATAATAAGTTATTCCGTGTTTTCTTTGCAATTGATTACACAACTGTGAAGGGGTACAAGCCTACTAGACTGACTCTCTGATCTTACAATTCCCCACAGTCCATAAATTCTCCGTTTCATCTTAAGTGGGGTCAGGGAACCAGACTACAAGAACAAGAATAGTTTTCTTGGTTTTTCCAACATCTACAAGCCCAAAACGTGAAACAAGTCATTTTAACAATATTTGCTATAACATACTAATCCTCCAAATCCATTTATTTCTGAAAATTGCAGCAAAAGCAAATGTACATGAATTCCCTTTAAAAAGAAATGTACTCGATGTGTACTCCTGAGTACTGGGGTCAAGTACCGAGTACCAAACCATCCAGTCCGTGCAAAATTCGAGTACAAAGAATCCAGTACCGGCCAAGTCCAACATTTTTTTCAAGTACTGATAGTCGAGTACGGGCCGAGTACCTGTGTGTGCTCGAGTTGTGTACGAGTACAAGTACTCCAACAGTGGTGAATAAGCACAGTGTAATACAACGTAGTACAGGTGCTAGTTGTTATAACATGATTCCAAAAATTCCAAATGCATTCCATTAATTTTCCATCATTGTGCTATAAATTTTCTGTCCTAGACCATCAAGTGTCAAGGAGAGTCTGACGTTTTCGCATCCTCTGGAAGATTCCGAGAAATACGTAAGTTGATATTTGTCAAAACTCTACTTTTCTAGAACATTTTGCTAGGAATATTGATCTTCCGAAATTCATTTACCCTAGGGCAGATTCTTTTTATGGTGACTGCACATTTCTGAATCCAGTTTCAGCTTGGGCCATTATTGGCTGGTAAAGCAAATGTAATAAACTACTTTTAGATGAAAAAATTACTTCAAATGCTCAATCCGTTCAGATTATAACACCATTTAAACGAATGACCCTAACATCTGTTTCCTCCAAAAATGTGATTTCAAGAATTGTCAATACAATTGTCTTCAAACATCACCAGCAATAAAACCTCAGTTTAAAAGTTAAAACAAAATTCAACAAAGTCCTTTTGAAGGCCCGTCTTTACAAAAAAGTGGATTTCTTAAATCCTACATGTATTGTTTAGCCAAAGCAAGGTTGTTTAAAATAAAGATATTGTGTACTACAGTTAGTTGTTGAAACAAGTATTCTGTGTCAGTTTCTTTGATGTTCCAAACAGTCAGAACACACAATCAATTGCTTTTTTTGAACGAAACTGATTCTAGGGTTACTTTGTTTAAAACAGTGATAGCATTTTAACGTGTTGAGCATTTGAAATAATTTTCTCACTTAAAAGTAGTTGAGAAAATGGGCTTCCAAGTCATAATTAATGTTGGTGCTACATATTTTTATATGAAATATATTTCTTCTTTTTTGGGGGGGGGGGGGGGTCCGCTTTCTTTGACTTGCCCTGTGAATGCATTTGAATTGTTTTCGTTTTGCTTAAAGAACACTTACCTTTTTTGTGATCCATGGACAGGAACTTTAAAAGGGTGTTTGTGTTTATTAACTTGAAAAGTACATGAGTGATTTGAATGATTCTTTCACTAAAAGAAAGCTCATTTATTGGGCTTTCATATCCTAGACTTTGAAAGTGCTACAGGCAAAAGTTCATTCAAAAATTGGTCCAGCCATTTGGGTTGCGGGTTTTTTTTTGCTCACCCTGTATGGTGATCCAGTGGGTATTTTTAGCCATGCCCACTTTTTCGTCTCATGGGTAATCGTTTTTGACTATTCATGTTTTTAGAATATAAAACCGGATTTCCTGTATTGAGTGCAACTCAGAAACGTGAAACCGATTTATGAATATCTCGCCCCGACACGAAGACAGACTGGTTTCCTCCGTGTGGGTAAAATGACGCAAACTGCAGTAGCCCCGGCCTCATTAAAACCCTGTATGACTTCGCAAGGATCCTGTACCATATAGGATGTTCAATTTATTCTTTGTCTAAAACCCAAAGTTATCGGCGTGCATTTTTTGAGGGTGTGGGGTGGGGAAGGGGGGGGGGGGAAAACTTATTCCACCCCACCCTCACAAAAGGTTATAATTTTTGTCTTCCCTTAGTAAGCTGGAATCAATTAAAGTTTTGGTCAGCTACAAGTTTGTTTAGCAACATGGTGGACCGAGAGTTTACACAGCGACAAAGGCCATTGACTTGCATCATACACGAAGAACCTCTGATACTTATCATATCTCACTTGAAAATTCATGGTCAGGGGCCACTTTCGTGGACCTAAGCACCCAAGAGATTTGATTTGTAACAAAAACCAGTTACCAACCAAAATGTTATATCATGTATAAATATAGCGCTATATTGCTGTTGACTGGTATTCCGTAAATTTTTTCTTAGCAGAAGAATTTGCTCAGCAGTATTTTCTGGGGGAGTGTGGCCTAGTGGTTAGGGTTTGTGACTCATGATCAGAGGGTCAGGGGTTCGAATCCAGCTGCTGGCCATATGTTGTGTCGTTGGGCAAGCCACTTCACCCCCACTTGCCCCTCTCCACCCAGGAGTATGAATGGGTACGGCATTAGCTGGGGAGCAACCTGCGATGGACTGGCATCCCATCCAGGGGGAGTAGAAATATTCTCAGTCGTTTCATGCCACTGAAACTGGAGATAAACGCCGGCCTGATGGGCCACATTGGCTCGTGACAGACTTTACTTTTGTTCTTAATACCGGTATCTCATGAAATTTGTCCCAGTATGAAAACAAGAAACTCACTGGTTGGGGTCATGGTTTGTGTGTGCGAACAAGAGAGGGCGCTGTTTGCCACTTTTGAGAGCCCAGTGAAAGGGACACGGCGCATGTGCCTACATGTACTTCTTTACGCTCGTTGTGCGCGGAGTACACACTACCAATTTTATTACCCCTCAGCCGAGAGGCTCGAGGGGTATTGTCATCGCCTAGGGCGTCCGTCCGTCCGGATGTATGTATGTCTGTCCGTCCGTCCGTCCGTCCGTCCGGGCAGCTTAGTTTCCGGATGATAACTTGAGTTAGAAATGTTGTTTGGGGTTGTAACTTCGGTAGGGGGTTGCCCTTGGGAGTAGGCAAGTTGGGATTGGTTTTGAGGTCAAAAGGTCAAAGGTCAAGGTCACCGTGGTGAGTTAAATGTAAATGGTTTCCGGATGATAACTTGAGTTAGAAATGAGATTTTGGTGTCTAACTTTGGTAGGGGGTTGCCCTTGGGAGTAGGCAAGTTGGGATTGGTTTTGGGGTCAAAAGGTCAAAGGTCAAGGTCACCGTGGTGAGTTAAATGTAAATGGTTTCCGGATGATAACTTGAGTTAGAAATGAGATTTTGGTGTCTAACTTTGGTAGGGGGTTGCCCTTGGGAGTAGGCAAGTTGGGATTGGTTTTGGGGTCAAAAGGTCAAAGGTCAAGGTCACCGTGGTGAGTTAAATGTAAATGGTTTCCGGATGATAACTTGAGTTAGAAATGAGATTTTGGTGTCTAACTTTGGTAGGGGGTTGCCCTTGGGAGTAGGCAAGTTGGGATTGGTTTTGAGGTCAAAAGGTCAAAGGTCAAGGTCACCGTGGTGAGTTAAATGTAAATGGTTTCCGGATGATAACTTGAGTTAGAAATGAGATTTTGGTGTCTAACTTTGGTAGGGGGTTGCCCTTGGGAGTAGGCAAGTTGGGATTGGTTTTGGGGTCAAAAGGTCAAAGGTCAAGGTCACCGTGGTGAGTTAAATGTAAATGGTTTCCGGATGATAACTTGAGTTAGAAATGAGATTTTGGTGTCTAACTTTGGTAGAGGGTTGCCCTTGGGAGTAGGCAAGTTGGGATTGGTTTTTGGGTCAAAAGGTCAAAGGTCAAGGTCACCATTGTGAGTTAAAGGTAAATGGTTTCCGGATGATAACTTGAGTTAGAAATGCGATTTTGGTGTCTAACTTTGGAAGAGGGTTCCCCTTGGGAGAAGGCAAGTTCGGATTGGTTTGGGGGTCAAAAGGTCAAAGGTCAAGGTCAGCATGGTGAGTTAAAGGTAAATGGTTTCCGGATGATAACTTGAGTTAGAAATGAGATTTTGGTGTCTGACTGAGGTAGGGGTTTGCCCTTGGGTACAGGCAAGTTGGGATTGGTTTTGGGGTCAAAAGGTCAAAGGTCAAGGTCACCGTGGTGAGTTCAATGTAAATGGTTCCGAATGATAACTTGAGTTAGAAATGAAATGTTGGTGTCTAACTTCGGTAGGGGGTTTCCCATTGGTACAGGCATGTTGGGACTGGTTCTGGGGTCAAAGGCCAAAGGTCAAGGTCACCACGTTGAGTTAAAGGTTAATGGTTTCCGGATGATAACTTGACTCTGGCTGAGGGGTTTCAACAGCAACGCTGTTATTTTTCTAAATGTGCACAAAATCATGGCGGCTTGTCGTCAACATCGGGCATCATCGTCAATGCGTTCGAATGTCTTTCCCAGTCTCTCCCAATTCTCCCTTCCTTACCATTGAGGGGGTATTTACCTGCACGGTGCACTTCAACATGAGGTACTATGTGTGTACATACCTCCCCAACTCCATCAAAATCCATCCGTTTATTTTGGGGGACTTGGTCCTGCAGGCCTGGTTTGACTACCTTCTGATGGAGTATGATGGACTTGGGCCTGGAGGCCTAAAGTAAAGCATGCATTAGAAGCAGTGTGATTGATGGATTTTGGCGGACTAGGTCCAGTACTTAGTAAAAGACAGTAGGGAGTTAGGGTTAAAGTATTTAGCTGGTCCCAGAGGGCCGGCCTAGTGTCCTCTTTCAACCACTCAATGACTGACTGTCACTGGTGAGCCAGGCAGTGCTGTTGTATAGGATGACCCCGCGATGCCAATGAGTACCGGTAGGCTGAATCCCGACCTACCCATGGAATATCCTGAAAGCAAGATTATGACATTTACTTAGCAGTTTTGAATTAGTTCTCCTATGCAGACATACATGTACATTGTGTGCCAAGTAGTCCTTTCAGTCAAAATCAATCAAGGGACTGTTTTCAACAGTTAAGAATTCCGTGCCATAATTTTTTGGACCCACTTTTTGGGGACACAAACTTTGTTTTGGCCCCCCAAAATTGTGTCCTGGATCCACTCTTGCTGTCAGACATTGTGTACGCCAAATCCAGTGTCACTCATTCCAGGCCATTATTCCTTTGTCCATGGTTGTCAGGGTGGGGGGGGGGGGGGGGGGGAGGGGGAAGGGTGGGGAAGGGGTGAACAAGGGGCACACAGGGGGCACTAAAGGGTAACTGGAGGTCGTTCATTATTGTTGTCACTCAATCCAACGTAAACAATAGGAGTGAGCTGTCTCTCTCGCAGGATGCTCCATAATTCGTGACATTACTGTTTAACGGACGCACATTCATCGATGTGACTAGGAACCCTTTTGTGTAATAACGCCATGTGTCAATGCTTATTTCATATCTGCCAGGTGTTTTTTTTATATAATTCTTTATCCGAGACATGTCAAAAAGAAACAATCACCAGTAGTACATGTATGTGATAATTGCAACTCCCTAGGGGGTGTGCAAAATCGTATTAAAATTGGAGGATTCAGGACTGTTAGGCCCCCCCAAAAAAGTTCTGCTTCCGATTACATGGCATTCGAAAATAGGGTAGGTAGGTAGGTAGGGAATTTTTTTTTGGCCACTTTTTTGTGTACAATCATATGGAGGCGTCTGCGTGCCGTGCAGTCAAGGATAAAAGGAAAAAATGATGGTTTTGGGTGTTTTTTCTCATTTTTCCCATAAAAAAAATTTGTACTGTGAACTTTTTGAGACTAAACTGCATAGTATAATCTTTGTATTGAATTGAAGGGGCCATATGATGAGATTTTCTGAGGAACACATTTTGTTCACTTTGTTTTACTCCTCTGAAACGTGTGAAAACTATTTAACATCTCTTTTGGGTTAATTTTATTAAAAAGTGCACTTCTTTTAAGCATTTAAAATTTGGCATGCTTTTCCAGACAACTGAGGGCGCTGTTTGCTGTAATGGCATTTCAGGAAGACACTGTTCAGTTTAGGGGTTTTCTGTTCAAATTGCGAACCCAAAATTTGCTTATTGCAATGAAAACGTCGGCTTACCAATGAAACACCAAAGAAAAGAAAATTGACGACAGCAAAATATCCAAAATTCTAGCAACAATTTGTGCTGAAATGGCTGTAACAGTTAAGTTTCTGCCCAGAATAAAATCACAGTTTTGCTCATAAATATGTAAATTTGATTGACATAAAAAAAATAGCCTTTACAAATGGTCAAACAAATTGAAAATGCGATTAAATGGGACACAAAGGTACATTTTCAAAAGACGTACCAGAGACTTTCTGGGTTTTTTTTTTATTGCTGAGAGATTACTTACATGTACAGAACTGTTTGTAACAATAGGCCTATGTAACAAATGTGACCAGCATTAATTGCAAAGAAAAAAGAAGGAAGAAAGAAACTTAACATACCCCCCCCCCCCAAAAAAAAAATCATACACTGTGTTTCCTTCAATATTTTGCCAGGATTTATTATTTAACTGACAAATTCTCAATTGTTTTCCTCTTTTTATCTCATGTGTAGTATTGGGAAAGACAGCAGCAGCAGGAGTTCCAGATGCTGCGTAAGACGCAAGGTCTGCACGCCCCCCTCAAACTACAGATGGAGTTACAGGCGGCAAGACAGGTTGGTACATCTTACTGGAATCATTGATTCACTGTCTCCAGAAATTGTGGGGAAAAAAATGTGCATTGAAGGCATTAGGCCAAAAAAAAAAAAGTCTCCGGTTTCTGGTATGCGCGCGCGTCGCCGTAGCCATGCTCGTCGGTAAAATGAAAACTTTTTTTTTTCAATGAAAGATGATGTCCCAAAACCGCCAAACTCACTGGTTTGACTGGAATCCTGCTGCTGCACAATTTTAAATGTTTTTAGATTGGGTTATGGTCGAGAATAAGCTTTTTGTGGCCTCTCTGGACTCCCATATATTTGCACTAAGTTTAGTCGGGCACCATTTGCAGTCATCTGCACACATTTGAAGCAAAGAAATCAGGTAAAAAAAAAAAAAAAGCCGCGTCGCCGCACCGCTTTTTGGGCAAGCTCCATACCAGAAACCGGAGACTCTTTTTTTTTGGCCTTAGTTACCTGGAAATGAACCTACCGATTTAATTAGACAATTGTTGCTCAAAGTGAAGATAGAGCTGTACCAAAAACACTGTGAAATTATTCCGCCTGAAATGGTATTATTTCAGGGGAAAAACCAGTAATTGCAGATGTTTTAAAAAAGTATGTCAGTGGGCACACTTTTTTAAATTAAAACTTTGTGAATAAAATACTGTGAGGATTATCCATCCTCTGGGACCCCAACGTCACATACACAAACCAGTCATAGCTGACCAAGTTAGCCACGCCCTCCATTAAACACGCAAAAGTTCAGTCCGAACACCTACATGCACATGTACCATAGCATGCAATTTTTTAATCCCCATATCCCATGAATCAGGCCCTTTTCCCCTGATGTTTGTCCTCCGTCTGTCCATCTTTGTTCAGATCCAGAGAGCCCCGTGCCTGCCCAGCTCCAACGCCAGCCTCGACACATTACTCAACCGTGACGAGACCATCGGCTTTGAAGATTATCTTAATGGTGAGTAAAGAAAAAAGTACTGCGGAGCTTTTGGTTTGCGGCCTTTCCTTCAAGACTTCCTACCTCATGCTTAAGACCTTCATCCATTTCACACTATAGTCTTCCCTACCCATGTTCCACCGTAAGAAGAACCAGCACCCGATTTCACGAAGCGCTGCGACACGTCGCAACTCAAGATGCGACATGTAACAGGTCACAATTTGCAACGCATCGTGCGATCCATTTCATAAAACTTATGATGTGCTGAACGCATTGTACGTTCCTTGACAACGGTTTAAAACACGTTGCAAGTTACGACATATCTTTTGGTCATCGCAAATAAGAAGCGTCATTTTTTTAGCCAGTTTTATGCCATAAAAATTACATCAACGAGACTATAATACCGAGACATTGTGTGTGAATTTGTAAATGGAATATGCATCGAATTTTAATATGTATCTGCTATGAATATTGCAGTTGAAATTTTGAAGTAGCTTACAGTTCACCGCGGGCTTGTTTTCCTTTAAAACTGCATCATACGTCCGCCATTTTGTTTTACGATTTTCCAAGAGGAGAAATGACGACTCTTTGCTGAAAATCAGACGACCATTTACTGTGCGTTGAGTAAAAATGTCACAGTCACCGTTTTTTGCTATAAAAACACCTACACTGACGTGTCGCACGATGTACCTCGATCTTTCATCTTGGGAGCAGTTCCGTAATAGAATTTTTGAGGTGCTAAACAAAAAAGGAAACAACAGTGTATACAGAATTAGCCTAATCAAGATATTTTTCATTCCCATCAATGTTAGAAGAGGTTTGGCTCTTGTAATATTAACAGAATCATTTTTCTTTTAAACGCTTCGAGCGATTTCTAGACGAAAAATGAAAGTTGAACCTGTCTGCGTTGACCAACTGTGGAGTTTATTGAACTTGACTGTGTCCGATCCACTGTATGTGTTGGTGTTTTTTTTGGTCAAATGAGACCTGTTCTGGTTAAAGCGTGAAGCCACCATCTGTCGCTGAGGAGGATGTCAGATCCAAAACTGACCAGTTGTTTATGGACAGCCTGACCACAATTTTCATGGAATTGCAGCGTACTTATTGGTGTGTTTTTTACTTTTATATATAAGCTGTTGAAGTCATTATGTCATTTGGGGGTCAGTGGTTCAGGGTTGTCGTTCAGGATATGGTGTGGTATTTTTTCTTGGATCCAGGTTCTTCGGTGACATGCAGCGCACCTGTTGTTGAGATGTTGAGTCGCTTTTGCCTATTTATGCTGTCCTTCACCAGTGTAATTTCATAACACTATTTATACTCAGTGTTGTCCGAGGGCCCGAGAGAAAAAAAATTCACAAGCTTACTCGGTCGGACTCGAACCCTCGACCTCCTGCTTACTAGTGCAGACGTCTTACCACTCAACCGCCGAGCTTGCCGGGGTCCCCTGACCAGCTAACCCTCCTATGCAAACATACATTCTGTGCCAAGTTGTCCTTTCAGTCAAAATCAATCAAGAATTCCCAGCCTACATAAAGCAGGATTGACTGGCTGTGACTGTTTATGTAATCTGATACAGCTGTGCTTTGACTGTGGGTGATTGATAAGGCAGCTGTGCCTACAACTTGCCTGCTTTGTCTGTTCATGGCCTGTTGACTGAATTTGACTAGTCACAGTGCTTGCTTGACATTATGATCTGACTGCTGGTGACTAGCCTGTGTCAAAAGTATAGCAGGGGAAGTGAATGGAAATTTGGACTGTCTGTGATTGTTCAGATAGCAGGAGGGTTAAAAAAAACCACCAGTTCCATCGTATCAATAGTGATGTTTGTGCTGTGTTGCCTTGTTTTTTCCTCAAACCAAGCATCCACAGACTGTGGGCACTGATCCAGGATCCAGGCATCCTTTCAAATGCCTGCTTGATACGGTTTGATAGTTTCAAGTAGGGCTGAATGATAAGCCTTAACCTTAACTCCCTAGGTATATTGCCAGGAGTCTTCCAACATGTAAGTTCTCCAAAATCCGTCACTAGCGGGAAGCCAACTGCACGTTCTTCGTACACTAATTTGTGAGCAGCATCGTGCCAAATGTACAGTAATCGTGGCTGCGTTGTTCCGTCTTCAATCAGTGTGCTGATTTTGAGGGATACATCTGGAAATGTATCAAGACTACAGGGTCCATGAAATGAATTTTTCTTTGGAAAGTATTTTGTCCAACTTTCTACTCTAAAATCTGTGAAAACTGCTTGGCATCCTTTTTTTCTATAATGTTATTGAAAAGTTTACTTCTTTCAAACATAAAAAAAAAAAATCCATGCGCTGTTGCCATGATGTCATGTCAGGAAGAAAAAAAACGGTTAAAAGTTGATACATCTGTAGTTGACATAGTCGGCCACAAGGGAATACTTTTCTTAATGGACAAAGGAGCAAAAAGGCTCAAAGTATCAAAGACTGTAATACACAGATAACAAGTATTGAATGGAATATTGCCAGCATGAGATAAAGTCGGATCCCGCCAACAAAGAGTTCAATATGTGACCGTGACCGTGACTCATCCAGTGATCCACCTGAAAGATTAGAACCTCTTCTCGACAAGAAAGGAAAAAAAAAAAAACTTCCCAAACTGAAAGAGGATCTCAGTGACCCTTAATATAATATATCCCCTCCCAGTCTGGCAGTATAACAAAAAAAAATTGGGGGGAAAAAAAAACGCCCGGTTTCTTCCTGTCCTTAGCTGGTTTAGCCCTGAGCCTCACCCTGCAATTCATTTCCTAGGATGGTTAGACTTTAAACTCAAGTTTCCCCCTTTGTCCTTATCCCTGACTTTGCCCCTAGCTTGTCCACCTTTCCGTGGCCAGCCTGGTCTCGGCCCAAGACGCTAGTGATGGCAAGTGGATAATGCGTAGTGCGCCCTCTAACGGCACTCACACTAACGTCTTGGGTAATTTGTAGTAGTGGTTTAACCTTTTCTTTATTTTGTCCCTAGGCTTTCCTAGGGAACCAATCAGCGGTCGCGAAATGGTTTGTAGTCAGTCGCGCGCGCTCACGCGACAGTTGAAAACATACACGCTACATGCGCTGATCAAGCATCATTAATAAGACGTGCAGTGATACCCCCGCACAAGCGCTTGACTACCGGTATCAAATTGGAGCTGCCGAAATTTGTTAATGTCTGCACTGACGGTCTAATTTACATAAAATGACCACGCCCCCATTGCTACACATTGCCCAAGACGTTACTGACAGAAAGAAAAAAAAACAATTATGCAAAGGCTTCTATAACAATGCAACTATCGCTATTGATCATTGACGTCTTGAGCGGCTTGGGCCAAGACTATGGCCAGCCCTGCTTGTTTTTTTTTTTTTTTTTGTGCTGACACACCCATCAGTGTAATTGCTTGCAGCAGGCATTAAGGAGTGGATTTATTCCGGGGATTTGCAGGTGACAAGGAGGCTAAGCATCTCTTGGTTTTTTTCTTTCGGGTTCAAGTGTCCTTTCATAATGCGCAATCATTTTTCACCATATCAACACACACAAAAACAAGGAAAGAATGTAGTATCCAGACGCCACTTCAGTGGTTGTGTACAAAGTCTGTGGAGAGTCAAGAAAAGTATTTCCTAACAAAATTGGAAATGTTTCTCAGTCCCAGATTCATGTCTTTTCAACATTTTTGCAAGGACTGACCTTCATTGAGAGATGATGCATGTATATGAAGAAAAAGTGGCGTCAGGTTGCAGCATTCTTTCCAAAACCCCCAAAAAACCCAAAAGGCTTTTCAAAGTTTCAGGCAGGATTGTACGTGAGCGAATGTGAATTAGATGAAAATTTGATGTCATGACAAGTTTGCAGAGAGCGATATTTGGTCGGAGTTCAAATTCGTTCAACTTTTGCATAGTCATAGCAAAATCTTGCCACGACGTCACAAATTGGCGTTCGCATTTGCTTTCGCGCTCAGTATAAACCAGCCATTACTGATGTGTTCCAGTAATTAAACACAGATATTTAATTTGAATTGATTTATTTACTGGGTTTATTTGAAAAACAAAATCATCAAATTTCATCAAAACACACAAGAAACCATACTGTGCTGGGTGGGTTGTAGTTGGGGATAGAATGTTGCATCCTGACGCCACTTTTTTTGCGTCATACATTATCTCAACGAAGGTCGGTCATTGCAAAAATGTTTAAAAAGACATGAATCTGGGACTAAGAAACGTTACAAATTTTGTTAGAAAATACTTTGAAAATGCACTGGACTCTCCATAGACTTTGTACACAACCACAGAAGCAGCGTCTGGATACTACATTCTTTCCTAGTTGGTGTATGGGCAGTAAGTGACAGGGTGCTCTGGGGGCATTACAGGTTAAATCACTGGAGTAAACCTGACAATCTAGGGCATGCATGTATTCCTGTAGATTACGGACAACAATTTCTGTTCCAATTTTGTGTAATAAAAAAGTGCAAGCTAAATGTAGGGCCTTCCCCTCCAGACTATTTCCTCTTTTCTCTTTTTTGGGGCGATTAATTTATAAAATCCGGCCGATAAACCCACCCCTTTCCCCCACCGGCTTTCCGTCTTCCGCCCTGCACAGAGGCGATACCCCCACACCCCTCTCAACACCACCCACACCCTGTCAACACACCCTCTTGGCACCCAACACTCCCTCTTAGCACCCAGTAGAAGAACTATCACGATTCCAAAGTTATAAAGCTGGCAACGGCTTCCTAGCCCTGCTATGGTTTGATAAGCCCAGCATGGGACAGATTAAACAAGTGTATCCAGTTTTTTCCTTTCAGTTTTTTTTTCCCTGAGAGAGTGCCCGCCCTGAATAAAAGTCTTGGCCCTATTTGGGGTTTTGGGATAGTCTGGATTTAAATTTTGCTTCCCAAATTCAGCCAGTCCTGATTCCTAGCGGGTGCATTTAAGCCACACCGGCAATAGAGGGCGCTATCAGCAAGATGCAGTCTTGGAAACTTTGGCACTCAGGGCCCTGAAATTATTTGCATGCTATATCTTAGCTAATGCATGCGTATAAACTTGAATCGGAAATAAAACTGGCATAGCTCTTTAGCTTCCTAAAAGCTACACAATTTCCCCACAAATCTCTTTGAATCTCTTTGTCAAAGTTCAGATTGCTTCAGATTTTTCAAGAAATCCGGATTTCCTGAAGTTTTACCACACGTCCTTTACTACTTTTGTGTGTGAAACTACATGTTGTTGTAAATCAAGCACAAGATTTGTACAAGTGTGGCCATTGGGTGAGCATTCTTGCATTGTTACGCTCTCTTACGATCGCAATAACAAATCCTCTGCCAAATATTTCTTGGGTTTTTTTTGTTTGTTTTTTAAATTATTCCCCGCCGATCTCACGCCTGCTTTGTGGATTTTGGGAGACCTGGAAGAATTTCATGAAGGCTTATCGAAGGCTCCCCTTAATTGTATCCCTGGATTGACATTTGATTTGTAAAACAGACATGAGGTGCTCAAAATTGATATTCCATTTTTCTGTATTTATTGGATAGTGGTTTTGGATATTGGTTTTGCCTTGGCGTAATTTTTCTCTGTCAAAAAGAATGTCATTTTTGAGTTCAGCACTAAAAATTTGTTTTCTCACAAGTCGTTTGTGAATTTTTTCCTCATAACCACTAGAGACAACACTGAGTATTGCGTCGGTGAAGAGCAAAAACCTAATATTGAATGCATGTTTTTTTGTGGGTTTTTTTTTTTTGTATTTTAAATACTGGATCATAGTTTTTGCCTGGGCGTCATTTTCTTGTGTCCGCAAAAGTATTGGGTCTTTGAACCAGTTTGCGTCAGCGGACATGATATCACGCACTGGCTGTTTTTATACACAGGTACGGCTGACGGGTTATGACCTCAATATTACCTCGACTTGCCTCTGGGTGACGTCTAAACACGCTAATCCCTTGTGCCTTTTGTACACACACACAAAGTCCATGAAGTCTGTGGAGGCGGACTGTGTGTTGATCTTGGATTCGCTGCTGTGCACGGCCTATTGTTGTACAATTTAGGCTCCAGTGCACACCTTGGAGTATTGAAACATATGAGGTTTCGGCAAGAAATATCGTACAAATACTGTTGAAATTACTCTTGCGAATCAGTCTTTGTATGCGTTTGGCTATATATCAGAAGTTGGCTGGACAATTTTGCCTTTTGCGAATATCCAAATTTTTGGCAAAAATAATCCTGGCGCGAAGTTTTAAAAAAACATTCCTGTACTATCTCTCCATCTTACATGTTCTTTTTTGGTTGAAGAGGACCGAATTAATCATTTTGTAATAGTCACGCCTGATCTGGATACAGTTACGCCAAACTGGTTTTCTAAATTTATAGTGAGCCTTTTAATTTAGCATTTATAAGTTGACCTACTTGTTTCAGAGTCCGAAATGTGTGAGTTACAAGATTGGGGCAGTGTTTACAATATCACAAGCCAAATTTCCATGGAAAATATCTGATTTTTGAAAATTGAATTTCCTGTTTATCATCAATAATCCAGAACGCTGCCAAGAGTCGAGCAGGAAGTGGTGGCCATTTTTTTTTTAGGTTACCAGAAATCAGTCAATCTTTGACTGATGGGATTTATAAAGTACACAATAAGAGCCTGCAACAGCTTTGAAAGGATTTACACAATTTTCAATCTATAGACCAAATTATTTTACAGCCACTTTTTGTTTTTCTCAATTAAAAGTTTTTGATGATAGTAAACCAATCATCTTGTAAAGAAAACTCAGTTTTGGGTTTAAGCCGTCACTGACGTTATTTCTTAACCAGATCACGCTGGGAATATTTTGACAGGAACGGAACGAGGCGCGGGATTACTTTTCACTCGACCTCATTGCCAGGCGGGTTGAAGCCATTACCCTCAGGCAGCACGCTCATATTTCCAGCCTCGCTCACTGCGAGCGGGTCGCTGACAGATATTTCCAGCCTCGCTCCCTGCGTGTTTATCCGTCATCCGTTCCGAATACCGCAAAACCTTCACGTGTATACACGTCATCCGGCGCAAACTGCACTGTACACTCAGTGCTGTTCAAGATCTTTCGGGAGAACGTTCACAATCTTACTCGGGTGGGACTCGAACCCACGACCTCCTGATTGCTAGTGTGGTCGTCTCACTCTCTGGACCAATGAGCTTGCTTGCATCAGCAATCAGTTAATTGTTTGAAAAAGCTAAACGAACTCGTTCAGTATCTCGCCATTAAAAAGTCTGAAATTGTGGACAATTCCAGGAAAAAAATGAAACAATTTTAGAGAAGGGGAGGGGGGAGCACAGTGCTAGACTTCTAAAGGCCTTTTCACACTAGACAAATGTCGGGGTTGACGCAGAGTTGACGCAGGGTTGAAAACATACAGCCTTTCATACTTGACAATTTTCAATCCTGCGCTGACACTGAGGTTGACTTCACCCCGGGTTAAACTCAACCCTACTCCAAACCAGGGTCAAGATTTTCCACCCAGGTTGAAATTCTCACTAGGGTTCAAAACAGTAGTAACCGAGTGAAATAAGCTCGGTTTGCATGAAACAAGTGTGAAACGATGCCGGGTTGAACGTGGGGCTGAAAAATCAATAACTCAACCCAGGGCGGCACTGGGTTCGCTCAGGGTTGAATCAACCTGGGTCAAGGGGGTCCATAACCACATTTGTCCTGCTGGTTAAATGTGGCACTGTTAGCCAGAGAGACATCACAGACATCTATGATTGTTGAAATTGCCTGTGATCCAAATTTGTACAGGTGTTTTGGGGGAAAACAGTTGTTCTCATTTCTCCATTTTACAACGCTCTCTTTGACTTTCTTTTATTTTGTTCTTGGTTGATCAACACATTGTGACATGTGATATTTGCAAACAGCCAGACAGAGATCGCAGACAAATTGTCTACAATCCAGATTTTTTTTAAGGGGGTGGGGGGGGGGGGGGAGATACATGTAAGAGGTCATTTTTGTTTGTTCTTGTTTCTCAGCATCATATTTTTTAAAATAAATTTCGTCGTGGTCCTTTAATTAGCTCTGATTTCATCCACATGTTTTTTACTATGACCATCAGGAAATGCCCTAGACAACCAATTCATATCTAATACGACCCTTTCCCTCAGGGCAAAAAAATACTAATTTTTGTTGAGACACAGCCAGGAGTCTCACCAGGATTTTCATTTAGGGCGGGGACAGTTTTAAATTGGGGCTTTAGACCAACACACCGGTTTTGGGCAATTCCGCTCCGTTCCACAATGTCAGACATCTTAATGAGCTGCTGTTGGAAAAATGAGCGTGATATATCACTAATACTGAGAAGAAAACAAGTACAGACCAAACTGAGGTACATGTACATGTACCACCCCCATTAAGTTTAACGACCATCATGTGGTCAGACTTACATGTACATGTACCGGTACTTTGAATTTTTACGAAAAAAGTTGTTTTGGAAACATTTCTGTAATGGTTGTAGAAGTTACATGTACAGGCTGGTACATTTGTGTAATTGTTTTTCATGTTCACATAATAGTAGTTTTCAAAGAGTGACATTACATTTTTTACAGTTTGGGGGCAATTCTCAATTTTTTACAGTCAATGCCGGGGGGGTGGGGGGGGGGGGGTGCCAGCCTCATATACTTGTGTGCTTGGTGGGACTGCTGGACTTGGTTTAAATCATCGTTGACTTTGTTAACCAAAGGAAGTATACATGGGAAATAAGATACATATGAAGATCTGACATAAATAATTATTGTTTCCATATTCTTTTATGTTTTTGGGTTTGCTACCACACTCAAATAAAACAAAATTCGTTGGGACTTCATAGAAATCAGTGTATTTCCTTTCACTCTGACTTCCCATGTGTCTAGCCTCATTGTGACGCACAGTTAGTGGTTGTGTTGATATAGACAATGTCAGTTTCACCCCCCCCCCCCATGCCCAGATCTAGCAACGGGGCTGTTTGCAACCGTATTTCATGTATATAGTGTGGGAAATTGAAATGCAAGTGAACAACATTGATTACAATTAGGATGTATTCAAATGTGTAAATGGCATATTCAATTCACACACTGATGGTTGTACAGTCAATAACTGACCGATGGACATTGCTATCTGTGAGAAAGAACAAAGAAGTAGCATCTAATGTATCATGTACTGAAGTGGGGCCACACTTTAATGAATGTCACATTTCATAGTAGTGCATTTGAATACCAGTTGAAAAAAGACGCCCTATTCGCTCTTTGCACGCTCCGCCACAAGCATGCAGAGTTTCGATCTGGCAACTTTACACAATGAATATAGACGGCTCAGTGATTCCCGGGTATACATGGGTATCACTGAACCCCGACACGGGAATCACTGAACCGGCTATAGCTATTGTTTAAAGTTGTCCGATCGAGACAACAGCAAAAGCAAATGTTGTATATTCCCTTTGTTTATTTACTGGTATGGAATTTTCTCTTGTTAATTTTTTGTTCCCTTCTTTGTTTCTTTTTTTGGTTGACAGCTCCAGGTGATGCAGAAGTCATGGGCAACCCACACGCACTCATGGAGAAGAAACTGGGCCTACTTTGATGAAAAGCTGGTCTGAAACATTTGATATCAGTGGTGGTTAAATTAGCATTGTGTAAAGCTTTTATACAGCGTGTCCCAAAATACCCGCAACTTTTTTTGTGAGGCTCTAGCGTCCGCGCGGAAACACGTACCGCCATTATTTTTATACCATTTTAAAGCTTGGAATCTGAACTTTATCCCTGGTGAGTATTGGTTTGATTTTTAAAAGAGTTTTCAAATTATTCTTGTTCAAATAAAGGCATGTCGAAAACAAACTCAACCAATTTCGAGGAAAACCGATGATGCGGTACATCAGATGCAAACTCGAGTCACACTTTGAGCGCGCTTGTTGAATAGGTACATACTTGCACGTGAATTTCAAAATTGAACTTGAAACGAAGAACAATATTGTGAATTAATTTAAGGTGTATTCCACTTGGATTGAAAAGAAAAGGAAACGCAGAAAGTAAAAGGCAACGAGATCGTCACTTCATGAACATGATGAAGCACATTAGAAAAAAATGTGCATGATTGATTTTCCTTAAAATCGGTTGAGTTTGTTTTTGACGTGCCTTTATTTGAACACGAATCATTTCAAAACCCTTTCGAAAATCAAAGCAATACTCACCAAGTATAAAGTTCAGATTTCAAGCTTTAAAGTGGTATAAAAATAATGGCGGTACGTGTTTCCATGGCGACACTAGAGCCTCACAAAAAAAATGTTGCTGGCATTTTGGGCCACGCTGTAGTATGTAAACTTCTATGAAACTTCATGCCGCGATGATATTTGTAGATTGGCCTTTCTGTAAATTTAGGGTGCAAAGTGGGACATTTTTTCCTGTCCTGTTACCTTGGTATTTGGTAATTTGCCATTCAAGTATCATTAAGAATGACTTCAAAATATTTTATATTTGTTCGGTAGGTAGATTGCTGTTCTTAATCACTCTTGGAAGGATGACGGCATTAATGTGTGTATCCAGAATTGTATCACAGATGTAACAGGGACAGGAAAAAAAAGTGCACCCCAAATTTATAGAATGTTTCATTTGTGAACAGCTTTTGAGATATGTAAACTTCCATGGAAGTTCTTGATGCATTGAAAATATTTAGAGATGTATGCCATTGCAACATGTATGCCATGCAACATGTATGATGCCCTGTACTCATAGTTTTAAGAGAATGGCGTACATTTTTGGGGGGGGGCTTTAGTTTGTACTTTTCATTCATTTCAAAAGAGAGGAATAAATTGTGTCACGTGCGTGTATGAGTTTATCACTATTGACCTATAAACAGTGTATTCGTGTACAGTTGCATCAGCCCTTGCTTATTGCCAATATGGTGTATTTTCATACGAATAAGGAATTTGGTCTGTTGCTTTGTCACAAGAGGGCGCACTTTTAAATTCATGGTGTTTTTTTTTACAAGGCAGACCAACAATTGGCTGTTTTCAATACATATCTTGGCTGTAAGTCCAAAGTTAGATTAAGCTAAAACTAAAGAAAAGGACATTGAAGGTACACCAATGAAACAACAAAAACCCAAAAGGCTTTTTTGGGGGGAATAGTAAAAAGGAAAAGACAGTTATTTTCTAGGTGCAAGGTGTGAAGGTTTTCACAAAAGACAAGCTGTGGATTTTTGTAAAGGATGAAACTTTTGTTACAAGTTTATCATTTCACATAAGGCAATCTGATTTTAATTTAATACCCTTCGATAAAATACACATTTTATAAAGGCACCTTACAAATGTTCTCACAATTTAGTTTGTTGGTTCGATAATATGTAGAAGTGATTCCATAATTGGTGTCATTACTCTATACTTATAATAAGTTCCACAACACGAAATAATTCACATCTACTTGTTACATCATTAAAGTACTGTCCAAAACGGGATACAAAATTCTTCATTGTTTGCTTTGGTTTCTTTAAAGTTATATTTTGAATTTATATGACATTTTCAAATTGGATTATTTGGAATGAAATTTGTTACCTTTGATGTTTGTGAGTTTAAAATATTTTTTAACAATACATGTAGTTACATTAGGCAAAAAAAAAAAAATTCGGTCTCTGGTCAGACCAAAGTTCCGGAATTGACGCGGCGACGCAGCTTTTGTTTTTCTTTTTCTTTTTTTCTTCAAGCTTGGATTGTACAGACAAGGTGGGGTACTATTTTGCTTTTTTGGTGTCCTCATGTACATTGGTGTCCTCCATAATTTGCCTTGGTGCTTTCGATCATTTGCCTTGGTGCAATTTCCCATTCCTTGGTGCTCTTTGGTACAAAAAAAAATTGAGGAGGTGCGGCAATGGAGGGTGCTGTTGGAGCTACCGCGGAACATTTTGGAAAAAAAAAAGATTGATGCACATGATTAAAATCGACGCACGCGCTGACCAGAGACCGACTTATTTTTTTTTTTTGGCCTTACTTGCATAAAAGTTGCATGCATTTGTCTACCATTTGAAAACAATAAAAACAACGCAAAATTAAATGGTTGCAAGCTAATAAAAATGCTAACAAAACCCGTTATGTAACACAGTTAACCAATTACAATACAAAACCACATTTTGAAAATCATGCATTGAAAACTTAAAAATTCACTAGTATCAAAAATAAATTACTTTGTTTTCACTCTACAATACAAACATGCTTAGTGATGTATCATATAAAAAAAGACATACTACATGCACACAGTACTATGATTTCCTTAGAAATTCATAACAATTGAAAAGATGTTAACCAGGCAATTTTAGTGAGTAAAGTGTGGATTCTATCTAGTCCTCCCAAGTCGACCATTAGTCCCCAGGCATGAGAATCTTCCCGTTTAAACAGGAATTCCTGGAGTTTTTTTGTTGCCTACATATCTGCTTTTTTATTGTTTTGAGCCCGTTTTGGGGGCTTTTTTTTTTTGGCCTGATTTCACATCTTTATTCCTGTTTTTGCCCAAGTTTCCTGGTTTTTTTTTTTATTGAAATTCATTCTGATGCCTCGGCCCCAAGTCAAGTCACAAGTTATTCTAAACTGTAAATTTGACTTGTGTTGTACTTGTACTTGTGATAGACCTGTGATGAACTAGTAATGGACTAGTGATGGACTTGACTGTAACACAGACACAAATTTCACAAGATTGTTTGCAATCGTAGATGCTTCTCTGCACCTCTCAATCAGGGTTTACGTTACGAGTACATCATTTGCAGCTATCCAAAAAGTAGCTGACAACATTATTGTGGAAAAGCATACTTGGTTTAAAGATAGTAATGGCACTAAACTCCCTGTGAAATAATTCTTTCTGGCATGCTGTCATTTTGAAGAAAAAGGTCATTTCCAAAAATGCGTCCTTGTAAATTTCCATTAGTGGTTTGTTTTCAATTTGGCGAAGCCGTGAATAGTTGCACGCAAGCGTTGACATGATGCACGGTTGCTATAATTCGTCGGTTCAGTGCATGACATCACGTAGCTGCAATCGGCTGAATGAGAACGTGTCCAGGACGCTGATTTCGGGCGCAGTTCAAACCATGACTCGGCAACTTTTGAATTGAAATCGAGATCCTAGAATATGATTTTCTCGGAATAACAGCATTCACTGAGCTAAAACTTCATCAGGTTAGTTGTTCAGCACCCTTCTTTAGAGTTTGAGCACTTTTGTTGCTTCAAACGAAAAAAACGCACAAGTGACAAATGAACTACTATACCTTTAAGGAACAACAGCACTAATACCATGGAGGTTGCACATTTGGAATAATACTGCAATACAATACTAAAATGCTGCAATTTGGTTATTCAGTATTTTTTTTTCAGGCAGTTAAAGCAGCTTCTTGCAGGCTGAGCAAGTGTTCGCGCTGTCCAAAGTGTGTTTGCATGATCCATATTTGGCAGGTGCTCTTGAGTCAGGGAACAAGACATGCATAGTACTGTATTGTTGGGAGATAAATGCTACAATTCGCTTTGTCAATATTTCTTCTCAAGAATTTTTGAAGCAGTTAGGCACCTATGGAGGCTGAGCATGTCAGCAGGCAGCTCATAGTGTGCTTACATGGTCCTGATTGGGCAGTGACATTTTAGATGCTCTTGGAGTCTAGGAACAAGACCTGCATAATACTGAATTGTTGGGAGATAAATGCTGCAATTCGATTTGTCACATTTCTTCCCAAGAATTTTACAAGCAGTTAACTCTTTCGCTACGGCGAGCTGCTGACAGCAGCACACAAAAATTGTACATGTCGTACGGCAAGCCGCTGTGAATAAACAGGGTATCCCCATGACGTGTGCCTTATCTACATAATTTATATTGTATAACCTCTGACCCTAGTTTGAGCCGCTGCCAGCGGCTCTCCGTCTCGCCACAAGTAGCCCTTGTGTGTTTGCATGATCTTTATTGGGCAGTGAAGTTTGAGGTGCTCTTTCAGTCTGAAAGCAAGATTAGACAAGCTGCTGTTATAATGCTTTGGGTATTTAGGAAAATTTGCAAACTGACCTATAACTATTCTGTGAAGCCGTTGAAAATGTATGCGCTTACCAAATATCCCTCAAGAACCAGTTACAAATTTAATTTTATGCTTAGGTACCTAGCAAAATGAACCAGTAGTAAGCAGTTTTTGGCAGTTTGAGAATATCAAGCAGTTTTAGGAGGGAAACCTTGATTTCCAGGTCTAAGCTGATTTTTGGGTAAGCAGTATGTAAATACGTTTGCTGAAATTTGAATGAATTTGCCTGGCAGCATTTTCCTGCTTAATAGCTCCACTTGAGATTGATAGCAAATTTGGATATCCTTTTTGTCCTCACTTCAAGAGAGAAACTTCGATCTGTCGGCTTTTGCTAATTTTTTGCCAAGCACCATTTGAAGAAATTTGTTAAGCAATTTTGTTCTTCTTAGCTACATGGGTTCAAATCCTGACCACAGGAACATGGTGCTTGTGCTCTTGAGCAAGGCACTTTACCATTATTGCTTCGTCCTTCAGATGGGACGTAAAGCCGTAGGTCCCGTGTGTTGTGTACTGCAATGCACGTAAAAGAACCCAGTAACACTTATCGCTAAGAGAAGGGATTTGCCCCGGTGTTTCTGGCAGTGGCTGCAATATGTGCCGCAGCACTTTGTAAACCCTTATAAGGTGCAACATAATGGGTCTCATATTTCTCATAAACTTCATTCACCTGTTTCTAATAATTGACATAATTTCCAGCGCCTTGAGTACCTAATTGTTGGTAGATATGTGCGCTATATAAGACTCTGGTATTATTATTATTATTACTCCACAATTTGGTTTTATGATAGCAAGCAGTTTTACATTACCTCATTCTCACTTAAGAGAGATAGTTTGATCTCCTAGTCTGAGCCAAATGCCAACCAACATTCAAATAAAATTTTCTAGGCAATATTTAAAGCTTGGCAGCTCCAGTTTTTTTTAAAGGTAATTCATTCTTCCTCTTCATCCTCGCTCAGGAGATGAACTTTGATCTCTCGGTCTTGATTTTTAAATGCCGGCTTGACAAACCGTCGTTGAGTCTTGCCGTGAGGCAGGGCCAGATCCTCCATCTCCAAGTCTCGCTTCGTCGTTCGTCTTTTACCAAAGCTGGGTAGGTCTTTCTTGGCCATCTTATCATAGTTCGGTTTACGGTATCTGTCAATCACATAATAATAATACCTTATGTTAATTCAGTGGTTTTCCTTGGAGCGAGACTAACCTAATGAGTATTTTTACAAGATATCTACCACACTCGAGTAAAGTGGACGAAAAATAAAAATCAAATTCATGTATAGATCTAGAAAAAAAAGTTACTCGTCTTTGGTACAATTTAAAACAGCAGGAACTGACAGAAAATCAAAACTCTTTTGGCATTCAATATGAGCCTTTCCCTTTGTCTTACAGGGAATACACAAAAGTTGCAAAAAAAAAAACCCCAAAACTACCAAATTATTATGAAATACCTTACTGGACTGTTAGTGAACAACAGTCTAAAGCATCATGTAAAATCATGGCACCTGGTGTGCTATCATTTTCAAGAAAAATTATATTTTTGTTTCAATTTCCAGTGCTGGTAGTCCCCATTTTTTTTTTGCAATCGATTACACACCTATGAACGGGAACAAGCCAGCCAGGACTTGTTTCCTGACCTTACAAATCCCTGACGTCTATAAATTGCTGAGGTCAGGGGTCTAAGGTCACGGAACCAGACTACAGGAACATGTGTTTTTTTTACATATAAAATGCAAGTGTTCTTATGGGCTTTTGTTTTAAAGGGAATATACATGTACAACATTTGCTTTTGCTGTAATTTTCAGAAATGAATGGATTTGGGGGGTTGTTTTTTTTATAGCAAATATTGTTACACTGACTATTTTGAAGGGTTGTGCTCAAAGATGCTGGAAAAACCAAGAAAAACATCAAGGTGCCAAAATGACTGCCTAAAATCCATAATTTTGTCAAAGTGTAAATTGTCTTTTTTTACAAAACGTTCATTTGATCATATTCCATCTCACTGGGACACCGCTCAAATGAAAGGTCTTGTCCCTTTCAATTTGATACCACATTTGACAATGTGATGCTTGTAGTTCTGAATCTCATACATTTTTCACTCTTCGGCCGTGTTCACTTTTTCGTGGAATTGCCCATGTTCTTGACATGACATTGGCCATACCTGCTTTTCTTTACATGTGGGCAATTTCACGGTTACTCACGTTACAAAAATGTAACGTGAGTAACCGATTTTATGCGTCTTGTTTATCATACATAACACATTTTTCTGGATGTCATCTTTGGTGCTTAGGTAGGTCTAGGTCTACTCTATCTACCATGGGGATAACAGTTATTAAACGTTTTCAGTAAGGTAATTACAGCCCAAAGAAACACAAAAGTACATCAAAAATGTAACGTGAGTAATCGTGGAATTGCCCAAGTGGTGAAAGTTAAAGGCTAGTGAAAATCAGATGGTAAACTACTTGTACAACTTACAGTTTCAGTAAAAGGGAGGAGCTGACAACGGAGACACTGGATGTAGCCATCGCAGCTGCAGCCATCCACGGTGGTAAGGCTAGGCCCCAGCTCATGAAAGCACCTACAGTGTAAAGAAAACAGGAACCAGAGTCTGTCACAAGGCAAGCACAAGTCAAGCCACAAGTCAATCACAAGTCAAGTCGTAAGTCAAATCACAAGTCATGTCACAAGTCAATCACAAGTTAATCACAGGTCTATTACAACTCAATTACAAGTCCATCAGAAGTCAATCACAAGTCAATCACAAGTCAATCACAAGTCAATCACAAGTCAGTCACAAGTCAAGTCACATGTCAAGTCGTAAGTCAAGTCACAAGTCAAGTGACAAGTCAATCACAAGTCAATCACAGGTCTATTACAACTCAATCACAAGTCCATCAGAAGTCAATCACAAGTCAATCACAAGTCAATCACAAGTCAGTCACAAGTCGTGTCACAAGTCAAGTCACATGTCAAGTCACAAGTCAAGTGACAAGTCAATCACAAGTCAATCACAGGTCTACTACAACTCAATCACAAGTCCATCATAAGTCAATCAGAAGTCAATCACAAGTCAATCACAAGTCAGTCACAAGTTGTGTCACAAGTCAAGTCACATGACAAGTCGTAAGTCAAGTCACAAGTCAAGTGACAAGTCAATCACAAGTCAATCACAGGTCTATTACAACTCAATCACAAGTCCATCAGAAGTCAATCAGAAGTCAATCAGAAGTCAATCACAAGTCAGTCACAAGTCGTGTCACAAGTCAAGTCACATGACAAGTCGTAAGTCAAGTGACAAGTCAATCACAAGTCCATCAGAAGTCAATCACAACTCCATCACAAGTCAATCGCAAGTCAATCACTAGTCACGCCACAAATCAAGTCCCATGTCAAGTGGTAAGTCAAATCACAAGTTAATCACAAGTCACGCAACAAGTTAAGTTACAAGTCAAGTCACGTTAGAAGTCAAGTCACAAGTCAATCAACAGTCCAGTCACAAGTCAAATCACAAGCCAATTCACAAGTAAATCACAAGTCTAGTCACAAGTCAAGTCACCAGCAACATTGAAAGTCACGTCACAGTCACAAGTCAATCACAACTCAAGTCACAAGTCATGTCACAAGTGACGTCACAAGTCGTACTGCAAGTTACGCATAAGTCAAGTCACACGTCTTGTCGCAGTATTTCTTAAGTTCAGGCATGCAACTGGGATATCACAAAAAAAGAGAAAATGCAAATTTTTCCCAGACTTTGTTCAGTGTTTTTCTATATTCAATGGCACACATGGGAAGTAAAAAAAGAGGAAATCAGCTGATATGAGGAAAAGTTGCATGCCTGTAAGTTTTCTCCAACTGAGTTGGGTTTTTACCTACCTGCTGCGATGGGTATCGCAATAATGTTGTAGAAGAAAGCAAAGACAAGATTTAGCCTGATCCTCTGGACTGTCTTGTGCGACAGATGGATGGCGGTGGGTACGTCTAATAAATTATCCTGAAAAGAAAAAGAGGTATGGAACAAAGGAGATTACAGACTAGGAGTGCAAATATGTCTACCAAAAAAGGGTACTATGTGCTTCTTGCACTGAATAGCGTTGTCTGCGCAATACACACGCCAACCAGTATGTGCTCGCTATGTGCGCATACTGGTTTTTGATCACATGAATTTGATCCAATTTTCAGACATGAAACTCATAATAAGCAGGGGTGGAACATTTGCGCATCCTACCTTGATTAGTACTATATTAGCAGCCTCTATGGCCACGTCTGTTCCTGTCCCTATAGCCATGCCGATGTCGGCCTGGGCTAGCGCCGGCGAGTCGTTGATGCCGTCACCCACCATGGCCACGATCTGCTTCTTCTGCTGCAGTTCGCGGACCTTGTCCACCTTGTGTTGCGGGAGCACTTCGGCGAACACCTGGCCAATACCGACCTGTGGGTGTAAAACAAACGGCAGCACAGTAAGTGAATGGGTTGCATCCACTGATCTTGGAACAGTGACTGAAAAGTGGGTAAAGGTTGAAGTCACTACAGCGCCATCTTGAGAGGCCTAAAAAGAATCAATTCTGTGTGTAGCAGCAGCCATGTTGGGGGGCCAAAAATGTATCTAGGACTGGCTTCACTTCATTGTGCACAGTATTGGGTCTGTGTACAATCTTGTCAGTATACATGTATACAAATCAGTGGTACCATTTCCCAAGATGATATGTTGAACATGGCCGTCAACATAGGGCACTTTTTCAAATGATGCACTACAGGTGACAGTAGTTCACCAAATCCTGAGAAGAAACTGTTCTCCATTCTAGACTGACTCATGTCCCCTCCATTCAAAGACAGGAATATTAAGGTTGAACTGGGTCCCACTTCATTTTCAAAGATCGGCTAAACGTTACTTTTTGTAGTAAAAATAATATAGACCGGCAGGCGATTTCACAAAACTTTACTCAAAGTCCACTTGCACCACAATTTATTGCGCAAGTTGCGCAACATTTCACGCTGCGCAACATTTCAGTTATGACAATTTTACGAAAGTTCATAGTGCGTACGTTCGCAACTTGCGTAACAAATTATGGTGTAACTTGCGCAATCATTTTAGGTTGCGTAAGTTGTGGCATGGCGACTGAAAATGACTTATTTTACCAGCAAATTGTGGTCATTGTGGAGCCTTTTATTGCACAACTTATCAAGGTTGATACAAGACACTCACAGCTTTGTGTTTGAAGTAAATGAATTGCTATTTTACTTAAGACGCCGTTTTTAGAGTTGCCACACGATTCAGAAAAAGTCTAACGAAAGTATTTTCAAAAATGGTGGGCGAAGGTGATTCAACTACTGTTTCATGAATGAACAAAATCACACACCAACTGCCGTCGTAAATGCTGTTTTTATCCTCGTCTAAGATATTTATATTATTTAAAAACGTTGCGCAGCTTTATAAAAAGGACAGGGTTTGAGGGACTTCAGCTTACTTGTCCGGCGATAGCCTGGGCGGTCTTGTGATTATCCCCCGTCAGCAGTACTGTGTTGAGTTTCATCTTCTTGAGGATGTAAACTGCTAAGGCGGCCTCAGGCTTCACCGCATCGGCAACTACAATCATACCCACTATCACATCTAGAATTGAAAAACATACAAAATAATATCATCCAATAAACCACGAAGGGCAGCTGATAAGGGGCAAACTCAAAGGTCGAGTGGTTAGAAGTCTGTACTAGCAAGCAGGAGCTCGTGGGTTCGAGTCCACCCAAGTGAATTTGTGATTTATTCTCACGATCCGTGATGACAACCCTTGTGTCTACCGTGTTTATAAATTTAATGACAAAACCCAACACTGACACTTGCCTTTAGATCATATCAAATTTGGACCAAACCGTTGCAAGGAAATGATGGGAATTGTTTTCATTTTTTTCTTGAAACTGGCAGCATACTAGGCACACTTATTTCACAGAATGATTGATCCTTTTTAATATTTACTTACACTTAAGCAGGCTATTTCATGATATCTTAGCAGTTTCGTTTTTTGAATGAAAAAAAAATTGCCTAAAAAAAAAAAAAAAAACTAACCAAAAAATGAAACAAAGGCGTAATTCCTGCTTTGGACTCGGTGCACGAGTAGATAGAGAGATAGATACAAAACTTTAGTATCCCACTTGGGGAGATTCAAATAGCCTCGACAAAAACAAACAAATTACATTCACAAATGAGAAAATTTGCATAAAAAAATATTAAAACCAATAAGACAAACAAACACATACACAATTTAACCTTTATATATAAAAACATTTGCTATAAAAATTGGGGCTAAAAATTGAACTGGAATAAAATGAGAAGACTGTCTCATATTGTAAAAACGGACTGCTGTCAAAACAGACGAGTTACTGTAGTGCTGAGTTCTAATTCTCCGCTAAAGGAGACGAAGTATCCCCTCAACGGTTAGAGAGAGAGAGTTGGGGGAGACCACTGGGAGAGACATTCAAACACACTTTTCAAAACGCACTGCCAGTGACGCTAGACGCTCACGCAAAGACGCAACTGGTTTATGCACAGTCAGAATATAATTAGCTTTGCGTACTTCGCGCCTTACGCACGCCAACCAGTATGCCTACGTGATGCGCATCTCCCACTGGAGCCATATGGTGTTCATCCACGGGAAAACCATAGAACAGACATGCTTACAATACGGTTGAACGCCGCTATAACGAACATCGTGGGATCCACAGAAAGTGTTTGTTATAACAATCGTTTGGTATAGCGATTTTGAACCGCCGGTACCCTCTTTTGACCAACATTCAAGTGGTATTTCTCACATCCCGCAGCCCCAGGAGGAGTTGTCACAAAACTTTAGCAACGGGTGGTTTTCCCTTTTATTCCTTGGGGAAATAACAGCCATCTATCGCTCTTCAACATTTAAACACGATGTACCGGGTAACTATGGGTCGTTTGATGTTCTGGAATTGTGGCCTAAATAGTTTTTAGTACATGTACATCCGGCAGATTTTTCGTTAATCTGTTGACTTTTGTCAACAAAAATGTTCGGTACGTTTTGTACATTTAAACCGGGAGCCAAGGATGATGTTCAGTAAAGCCAAATGTTCGGTATAGCGGTGTTCAGTAAGCAGCGTTCCACCGTACTTGTCTTTCGCTGAAATTTTGAATGTGTCACTCTTAAACATTATCTTGGTTTTACCGTTGATGGCGACAAGCACGGCAGTTTGACCTCGCTCCTCGTGGTCCCTCATCTCCAGGTCAATCTCCGTGGTAACCCGACAGAAGTTCCTCTTCATCCATTCCCGGTTGCCGATCAGGACCTTGTACAGACCGTCGTCGGGCTGTTTCAGGCTGGACGGCACTTGCTCTGAACATTAGAAACACACAGTTCTATGTTAGGGGCCCAAAATAATTGTTTTTATTGGGCAATTCCAGAGTTATGGAAGAAAATGTAATATCTGTGACAGAGCCAATTAAATATATATCTAATAAATGATTCAGGTAAATGATCCAAAACTCCTAGTTTGTTATCTCCTTGATACTCTTAAAGTACAAAAAAAATATCTGATTTGTAAGGTCCGTGAAGCTGGAATTGCCCTTGAATACAATCCTTGAAAATGCACCATTGCGACCAATTTAATGTTATTTCAATCTTCATATTGCCATTTTGCAGGGTGCTTTGGAACCTTTTGGTTTTGTTTTTATGCTAGTGTAGATGTCCATATTCATAATTAAAACTGTGATGTCACTCAAAGCAGAAACTTCAGTGTTTACAGCTGCTTCAAGCAAATAGAGCTGCTGGAATTTCTGTTTTTGGTGATTTATTGCTGTTTCAGTACATGACAGTCGATGAGGCAAACTTCATGCAGAAATGTTTTCAATGAATACTTTTTTGGTTCACAATTTAAGCAGCAAAACCCTAAAAAGAAAAATTGGGACTTAACTGACTTAAAGCAACAGTGCCCTCAGTTGTCAGGAATTCTATTCAATTGATTCTAAATGGCTAAACAGTTTGTACAATAGGCTGTAGTGGTAACGTAATGGAAATGGAAAATTTCACTTCCGCCATTTGCATGGAAACTCGACTCACTGCCTACGCACTTATCATGAAAGCACATGAATCAAGCGGCGCCAGACTAATGCACATGTAAGTCACAAGTGACAGTCAGTCAGTGAGATAGGTAACCAGTCTAAATCACAAGCGACAGTCAGTCAGTGAGATAGGTAACCAGTCTAAATCACAATTGACAGTCAGTCTGTGAGATAGGTAACCAGTCTAAATCACAATTGACAGTCAGTCAGTGAGATAGGTAACCAGTCTAATTCACAAGCGACACTCAGTCATTGAGATAAGTAACCAGTCTAAATCACAAGCGACAGTCAGTCAGTGAGATAGGTAACCAGTCTAAATCACAAGCGACAGTCAGTCAGTGAGATAAGTAACCAGTCTAAATCACAAGCGACAGTCAGTCAGTGAGATAGGTAACCAGTCTAAATCACAATTGACAGTCAGTCAGTGAGATAGGTAACCAGTCTAAATCACTAGCGACAGTCAGTCAGTGAGATAGGTAACCAGTCTAAATCACAAGCGACAGTCAGTCAGTCAGGCAGTGAGGTACAAAGATGACACTAGGCTAGCCCTCTGGGACCAGCACCAAAGACCAGATTAGAATTGTACCCTTTTCACTGGGCGTTATGATCGGCGGGCAACTGTCGAAAACGTCCACGATCTGCTGGTCAATCTCCACGGTGACTTGACCATTCTCCACCTGGGAGGTGATGTCGGTGGCCCCCGTGCCCTGGTTCACAAGCAGACGTTCCGTTTCCATGGCACTGACGCTGCACTTCAGCCCGCAACCGGAAACGGTGTTGAAGTCCGTGCACTTGGCCAGCGTGTCCCTGCCAAAAAGCTGTACAGGAAATCAAAAAGACATTTCTGAAAATCATTTTCAACTTTTCACATGGGTAGAATTTGAAACAAGTTTGTATACAGGACTTAGTATGGTCGAATGGAAATAACCGGTTAGGAACATTTCAATAGGTCTCTCTCAAATGAGGTCACTTCCTACAAATTGTCACATGCATCGGCATTTTGGGCGTCAAAGTTTTGTGACGCGCACCTGCTGAGCTGTATTTCGAAGAAATTTCGAGCAACAGACGTGCATGTTTAAAACATTTTGTACACTGCATGCACACGCACCAGATGATGTTGAATACGCAGTTGTATTTGGCGTCCTATGAGAGAGATATATGATATTGGGCCCTGCAGTGTTTCCCCTGCCAATTCAATTGTGAGCTGGCCCAATTAACGACTTTTAGCGGCTGTCTCACAATTTTTGGCAGAAAGGAAGTTGCAATAAAAAGTAATAAAAACATGGAAGTCATTGTTATTGTGTAAAGTGTGGACTGTGGGCATGTATGGTCTAGCGGTGGAGCACAGGATTCATGATCGCGAGGTTGTGGGTTCGAGCCCCGCCGTGGCCATGCGTGTTGTGCCCTTGAGTAAGGCGCTTTACCTCAATTACTCCTCTCAACCCAGGTGTTAAATGGGTACCAGCATTATTCAATGCTGGGAAGGTAACAGACTCGCTGTAGAGGAGGTGTGGCGATCCCCCCACAGCAGCATATGAGTCTGGCCCAATCGCTAAACGAAAGAGAGATGGGCACTCCGTTCCTGTTAACACAGGTTCGTCCCCTTTACCTTTTTGAAAGTGTTGACTTGTTTGTTATCTTGAACTGCAACAAAGTCACAATTTTTTCCTCTCTGGACAAAAAAAAGCTACATCGGATATTTTCAAAAAACGTTTATCAAGCACTCGTGTATTTGTGTATCTGTATCTTGCAACTAAAGCGAAAAATGCACAAGTGAGCGCGTAGCTTCGGTTTCGCGGTTTGGGTACCTCCTCACACTACCAAAAATCCAGGGGAAACCCTGGGGCCCTGACTGGGAGATGTGTCCTGACCTCTTTCGCGAACTTGGTAATAGCTGCCCCGATGGGATGCTCGCTGTTGGCCTCGGCTGAGCCGGCCAGGGCTACCAACTTCTGCTGAGGGAAGACCGAATCCGGGAGAAATAGGAGGACTCGTACAACTCTAGGGGCACCCTGGGTGATAGTCCCCGTCTTGTCAAATATCACTGTCTTTATCTAAACAAATAACCAAACAAGGACAAAATAAAACTTAGCACAAGGAGAAATTGTCATGCAACTCCATGGATGTCGTCCAGCAATCGTCGTTACTGAGATGACGCCATGCTCACATGCATGTTGCATGTATTCTAACTTAAGGATTCAATATTAGGTTTTGCCCTTTATAGATGTACAATGTATACACAAAAGTATACTCCGTGTGTTACCCATGAGTGAAAGTCAGAAAAAATCACTCGGTGGGATTTAATTACACTGCTTGCAATGGTAAACTACGGAATATCTGCTAACAGTGCTGGATAGGTACCGGTACATGTAAGTGTATGTGTAGGCACACACAAGATGCAGAACAACACTCATAGGAGGGGTCATAATTTTGAAGCTTATCGTCTTATGAAAACGTCATTTATATAGACCTTTGGGGAATGTTGTTAGCTACATTTTGATACCCAGTTTGCTACCAACGACTGTAAATCGTCCAACATTGATGACGGTTTATGAAAAATGATGCAGTTTGAAAAGTTGCAAATATAAGGAGTACGCAAGTGGAAATTGCTACGTGACAATGTTACACTGTCCAAAACGAACAGCAGGGAATATCAATCGCACAGTGCTTGTACGCATGGGAGCACGCAAAATTGAATAACCCGCGCTTTGTTCAGGCACTGTGCAGTTGATTGGGGCCAATGACAGGCATGTGTGTTTGCGCTTAGCAATTTCTCATCATGTAATCTTTCAATTTGCAACTTTTCAAAATGTATAATGTTTCATAAACCGTTGTCAATCCTGGACGATTTGCAGTCTCTGGTAGCAAACGGGGTATCAAAATGTAGCTAACAACATTCCCCAAAGGTCTAAATGACGTCATCATTTATTAGACTAGCATGCCTGACTGTGCAGGTGTCGTCATCGGTAGCATTTTTTCTCTACTCAATGGTACGTATACATGAACAAATTTGGTTTCTGGCCACCATACTGTCGCCTGTGGTGCATGCTCTTTACTCTCACCTTGTGCGCGATCTCCAAGGGTCCCCCTCCCTTGATGAGTATGCCATTGATTGCCCCCACCCCGGTGCCCACCATGACGGCAGTAGGGGTGGCGAGACCCAGGGCACAGGGGCAGGCGATGGACAGGACCGAGATGGCACACTGGAAGGAGTACTGCCACACCATCTGATTGCTGCTCATATTGTGGTTGGTCTGTTTAAAATAGTAACAGAAAAACTGAAAGATGTACTGTCCATTCTCTGGCCGACTTTCAAACCCAAAATACAGGGTGAGTAAAAAAAAAGCGAAACCCAAATGTCGGGACTACTGTTTTAGTGAAGTTCTGCATGTAGCACTTTCAAAATACAGCATATGAAAGCCCAATTCATAAGCTTTCTGTTAGTACAAGAATATTCAAATCACTCATGTAATTTTTAAGTTAAGGAATTTTAAACACAACCACCGTTTTAAAGTTCTGTCCACAAATCACAAAAAGGCAAGTGTTCTTTCAGCAAAACAAAAACAAATCACATAGGGATGTGTGTGAATTGTTTTTTGTTTTGCTGAAAGAACGCACACCTTTTTTTTGTGATCCGTGGACAGAGCTTTAAAACAGTGGTTGTGTTTAAAATTCCGTAACTTGAAAAGTACATGAGTGATTCGAATGATTCTTATACTAAAAGAAAGCTTATGAATTGGGCTTTCATATCGTAGAGTTTGAAAGTCCTACATGCAGAACTTCACTAAAACAATAGTCCTGACATTTGAGTTTTGCTTTTTTTTAAGTCACTCTGTATAGATTTTGTTTTTAAAATTGCTATTTTTATCTAGTATAGGTTATTCACTTTTGAATGACACATCAACCAACCCCATGTTATTTGTGGAATAATTATTTACATATTTTGACTTATTTTCAGCGTGACAATAAGTTAGATCTCAATCTTATTGTGCGCTAACAAAACCAACTATAAAAGCATTTTTATTTTTCAGACAGCCAAGATTAAAAACAACAATAGAACTTTTGTTCTATTAATCTTTCAAAAATCAGAATGAGTCATATGTTGAAATGAGTTGCTCTAAAATAGAACTGTCTGGTTATCCCCGCGACTCATTGGCAAGTTTCGGTGAGGATCATTAGTCAACTAGTGGTCGATTTGTGACAAAGACTTATGCGTGAACACTAATAACAATGTGCAAATGCCTCTAGTCAAGTCAAACGATGGTCAAATGTCATCGTGAAACGTCTCGGTCCTGGCTCCCTGTTGTTCTTGATGATGCTGCCCGCGGCTATTGGTAACAAGCGATGGAACTATGCCGTGGGCTCAGGTTCCAAAGTGTCGAAGAGAGTAGTTCAATCATCATTCACTACGGTTAACTATAGTTCATGCCCGAAATTGCTCTATGGGCTCCATGCGCCAACAAAAAAGGCACGTTTTCACCTCTTTTGAAAGCTCCGTGGATGGAACACACAGCATGCGCGTACTGTACTGTATAGGTTTGCGCGCGAAGTATGCACGGCTTCCTGAATGTGCCAAAGCTATAGCCATCGCGTCTTCGCGTGAGCGTCAGGCGTTGTCAGTTCGCCAATACGTTCTAATTCAACTTGCATTGGTCTACGAGACAAATCCCCGCCTCCAATAACTTTGGACACATTCGAAATACGCAGTGGATGGACCGGGAACCAGTCTAGGTCACCCCCAACCCTCCTTTTCTGGCCGTTGATGGGGTACTTGTGCCCGGAGCCCATAATGCCAGTCCGAAACGGCTGTACCTCAATTCCATATCCGACAAAATGTACGACTTACGTTCAAGAGGAATGTTGGATGCACCATGTCAGGATCCGTGTATCCCTTGATGACATGCGCGGTCAGTGTAATCAGGGTGATAACGACGATCCCGGGCACGAAGTAGCCAGCGATACGGTCCGCTAGCTTCTGGATAGGAGCCTGATATGCGAAGCAAAATAATAAATGTCTTGATTAATTCCAGACTGTCAACCGTTTACTTGCTGTAATCACTGAGGGTAATGTTCAGCTTAAAGCTATAGTCCATCATTTGCAGCCATCCGAAAAAGTAACCGGCGTATTATTGTTGAAAAAAACATACTTGGTTGAAAGATAGTAAGTGGACTAAACTCCCTGTGAAATTATTCTTTCTGGCAAGCTGTCATTTTGAAGTAATCAACGAAAGAAGGCCTTTCCAACGATGCGTCTTAAGACGCACCGTAGGAAAATTTAAATTAGTAGTTCGTTTCGTTATTCGGCGCAGCGCGCGCAAGCATTGGCACGACGCACAGGCGCGCGCGGTTGCTATAATTCGTCAGATCAGTGCGCGACATCACGTATAGGTGCAATTCAAAACAATTCAAAACATGATTCAGCAACTTTTGATTTGAAATTGAGATCCTAGAATGCTGTTTTTCTCGGAATATACAGCTGAAACTGAGCTGAAACTTCATCAGGTTAGTTGTTCAGTATCATTCATTGGATTTTGAGCACTTTTGTTGCTTCAAACGAACAAAATGCACAAATTACAAATGATGGACTATATCTTTAAACATAAGAGTAGAGTTGACGATTACATATCATTGTGTACATGAACAAAGTGTACAGGCGAGTCCAAAAAACTGAAACCCAAATGTCAGGACCATAGTTTTAGTGAATTCTTCATGTAGCACTTTCAAAATCTAGGATATGAAAGCCCAATTCATAAGCTGTCTTTTAGTACAAGAATCTTTCAAATCACTCATGTACTTTTCAAGTTACGGAATTTAAAATGCAACCACCGTTTTAAAGTTCTGTCTCTCTCACATGACGTTATTTCCTTCAGACCAGCCACGTGCATCAGCACTTTGAGCCTCAACTTGCATAACGGGCATCGCTGCATCGTATTTCGAACACATTTCAAGCAACAAGCGCGCATGTTTGGAACATGTTCAACACTGCGCAAGCGTGCTTGATTGCATAAAATACGCAATTGCAGTTCACCTACAGAAATGGCCGTCTTTGGGAGAGACCTATAGTGTGCACAGTGGGGTGCATACAGATTCCAATGAACACATTGTACAGTCTTCACAAATGTTTGTAGTAGCTGTTTTTAGGTAATATCTCATGAAGAAACCACTTCTACCACCCCCCCCCCATCATGCCTCCTCCCCTTAGAAAAATGAACAAACAAACAAACAAACAAGCAAACAAACAACCCAACACAACAACCCAACACACAGAACAACAACACAATGAACAGACTGCTCACTTGTTTATTTGCTTCTTAAACAATTAGGAAATGTTGATCAAATTTACCTTTGATGTCTGGGCTTCTTCGACCAGTTTGACAATGTGTGACAGTGCACTATCTGCACCAACATGGGTGGCCCTAACCAGCAGCACACCATTCTGGTTAATGGTGCCTCCAATCACAGTGCTCCCTAGCATAGTGGAAATAAAGATATAAGCCTCAAAATAATGTAATATATTGTTGCATTTGTCACCCTCCCTCTCTCAGTGACAACATGGAGGGAGATACCCTTTCCGTCCAAATCTATCAGGTGACAGGTTTTAACAGTTTTGTAAACTGGCCTCATAGTGGTACAATTGACAGGATGTGGTAGGTATGTCAACTGAGGGTACCAAGCCTTGACTGACATTGATAGATGTGGTGGGTCAGCACTGGTGAGTGCCTGTCAAACTGGCCTGATATTGGTACAATTGACAGGCTGGGGTAGGTATGTTAACTGAGGGTACCATGCCTTGACTGACATTGATAGATGTGGTGGGTCAGCACTGGTGAGTGCCTGTCAAACTGGCCTGATATTGGTACAATTGACAGGCTGTGGTAGGTATGTTAACTGAGGGTACCATGCCTTGACTGACATTGATAGATGTGGTGGGCCAGCACTGGTGAGTGCCTGTCAAGGTAGGCCATCAGCCTGGGGGTTTGGTCAGTATCAAATCAATGCATAAATGATTATAGTGCGCATGCGCAAGGTATACCGCCCCTAGAGTGGTAACAAGCATTTTGATGGCCATTTTGAAAAAAAAGGGTGATAACACCCAAAAAGCTGCCACCGCTGCAATGCTATCACATATTTTCCAACTCTGGAGGTGTATACCTTGCCAAAAATCGTTATGACGATTATTCCCCTCATTTGATACCGGTGGCCAAAATTTTGGACCGAGGCTGATGTCATAATGATGGATTTAGTTCAGTAACAATGAAGACACAAAAGGTTCACTCATACACATCCCAGCAAAACATAGGCATTGCCCTCTAAGATGGCTGCTACGCAAGTTGTAGCTGTATTCAAGGTCACCCCATCTATCAAACCCCTTCAACAGGTTTTGAGAGTTATGTGGTTTAATCTATGGAGGTTCTGGTAGTTGGTGACCAGCCTGTACATATGCTATGGGAGAGGAAGTGGATTATTTTTTGACGGTTTGTGACAGTTCTGTCATCTTTGTTGCATCTTTGTTGCATATCTGTTGCATCTTTATTGCATCTTTGTTGCCTCTTTGTAGTGTCTTTGTTGCGTCGTTGTTGCATCTTTGTTGTCTCTTTGTAGTGTCTTTGTTGCATCTTTGTTGCATCTTTATTGCATCTTTGTTGCATCTTTGTTGCATCTTTGTTGCATTTTGTTTGCATCTTTGTTGCATCTGGTGTGCATTCCTGCTGTCAAGAATATTGTTACATTCAGCATCACTAAGCTTTGCAAAGCACTATAGTGTGATGCCTATACAGTGGAACACCGCTATAACGAACATCGTGGGGTCCACAGAAAATGTTCGTAATAGCAATCGTTTGGTATAGTGATTTTAAGCTGCCGGTGCTCCGGTACTCACTTTTCAATAAATGGCGCCCTTCATAACTTCACCCTGCATGCCCTGGTAGTTACTGAAAGACGACTGTGAACACACGTGCCGGCTATTGGACTATATAATTACACAGTTTTGTGCTTACTGCTTACATCAATGGGTGGCATTCCCCTTCTAAATAATGGCCACTTGTCGCTCTTCTGTTGACATATTTCACAAACAATGTTCGGTTGGTTTTTCTACAAAAAAATCAGGAGCCAAGGACGATGTTCGGTATAGCCGAATGTTCGGTACAGCAGTGTTCGCTTTAGCGACGTTCCACTGTATTTGTAAGCAGTCTAATTCAAGGTTATTCAGTGAGAGACTAAAGCGAGTCTAATTCACAAGTGACAGTCAGTCAGTGAGTGGATCAGTCAGTATGTCAGCCAGGTACAGAGAGGATTCCAGATTGAATCCTCTTGGTCCAGCAAAAATCTTTACCTGTTTTCTTTGTGACGGGCATAGACTCTCCCGTAATCAACGACTCGTCCACCATGGATGACCCCTCCACCACCACCCCGTCCACCGGGATCTTCTCTCCCGGTAGGACCTTGACGCGATCGTTGCGCTGTAAGAGGTCCACGTCGATCAGTTTCTCGGTTGCGTCTGGCTGACCCAGCTCGTCCTGAGTGACTAGGCGGGCCTCGGTGGCTTGGAGGGACATCAGCTTGGTCAGGGCTTCTGAAGTCTTGCCCTGCATTGATGAAAAAAAAATTAGGAAAGAATATTGCAACCTGACGCCACTTTTTCTTCATATATCATCTCAATGAAGGTCAGTCATTGCAAAAATGATGGTAAGACATGAATCTGGGACTGAGAAACATTTCCAATTTTGTTAGGAAATACTTAGAAAATTTTCTTGACTCTCCATAGACTTTGTACACAATCGCGCAAGTGGTGTCAGGTTGCAACATTTTTTCCAAAAATTAGATGACGAACACTTTATTGAGTATACAGTGTTTATAAAATACATTTGTGAAGGGCTAAATCCTATATTCAATTTACATCAGGAAAACGTCGTATAAGATTGCAGTAGCACCCACTGCTACATCAGGTTTAACCAGCCAGCAGACCCAAGCAAGCTCGGTGGTCGAGTGGTTAGACATCTGGGCCCAATTTCACGGCGCTGCTAAGCACACAAATTTGCTTAGCACAAAAAAGTCTGGCTATTATAAATGCAGGTTACCAGCCAAAACTCCATGTGATGTATACTGCTCGTGATTAGTATTCAGCTGTTGTTTGCTTAGCATGAAAATCACATCGAGTTTTGGCTTATAACCTGCTTATATAAGCCAGACTTTTTTGTGCTAGGCAAAATTGTTGTGCTTAGCAGCGCCGTGAAATTGGGCCCTGCACTGATAAGCAGGTCATAGGATTGAGATCCCCTAAAGTAAACTAGTGAAACAAACCCCAACCCAAAAAGTGAACAAATGGTGGGGGTTAACTATAATTCACCCTGCCCCATACAGACCTTAGCCTTGTGCTCCATCCACCGTCCCAGCGTCACGAATATATACAGCATGGGTGGGGCGTCAAAGAACGTCCTGGGGCTAGTCATGGCTCCCGACAAGATGGCGATCAAGAGAACGATGACAGAGTACAGGTAGGATATGGTGGTCGCTAGGACGATCAGGACGTCCATGTTGGCCGCGCCATGCTTCAGGGCCTTGTAGGCCTGGACGTAGAAGTAACGTCCACCTAAAACCTACAAGAAAATGTGAGCTGAGTTGTAATTGAGTCATGATAAGTCAATCACACTTGTCAGTGCAAACTCACTCACAACTCACTCAAGGGTGACTTCAATGTTACTCATGAGTCTCTTACTAAATTCAAAGTCGCTGACAAGTCACTCAAGAGTCAGTCATAAGTCACTCAATCAAACCAAAGTTACTCAAAAGTCACTCATGAGTCCCACACTCAATCCAGTCACTCACAAGTCACGCATGAGTAAATCACTTAATCAAAAGTCACTCAAAACTCAGTCACTCATGAGTCACTCACTTTCCAGAGTCACTCACTTTCCAGAGTCACTCACTTTCCAGAGTCACTCACTTTCCAGAGTCACTCACAACTCTGTCACTCATGAGTCACTCAATTCAATCTAAGATCACTCATGAGACTCTCATATGTCAAACACAAGTCAATCACACGTCACTCACACTCGAATCACAAGTCACTCACACTCGAATCACAAGTCACTCACAGGTCAACTACAAATCTATCACAAGTTATTCACAAGTTTTGTTAGCGTGTAAATAGAGTTTTTAGTTGAATTTAAAAAAATGTCGCTGCTGTTCTTTGAAGTAATGTTGTTTTTAATTCCTTCTTTTTAATTCCTGCCGTAAAGGAAGTATTAAACACTTTTGAAAATAGCAAAAGATGTCATTCAAAAAGTAATCAGATGTCAATCGCACGTCAATCACAACTTATCAGAAGACCTCATAAATCATCAACAGTCAATCACAAGTCCACACTTCAATCACTGGTCATCCGGTCTCAAGTCAAGTTACAAGCTCTTTAAATGAACTGCCATAAAGGCATTCGTTTGTCATTGTTCATCCCCAGTTACTCGTGACTGGACTTGTGACTGACCTGTGAGTGACTTGTGATTGAGTTGTGATTGACTTGTGATTGAGTTGTGATTGACTTATGACTGACTTATGATTGACCTGTGACTGACTGTTAACATACTTGTGATTTCACCTGTGACCTTAATTTGTGATTGACTTTTGATTTGATAAGATAAGATCCGACTGACCTGTATTGGCGTACAGAAGCAGAAGAGCAGTAGATTGTGAATGGAAAGACCAGGGAAGATACAGGGGTGGAGGGGATGAGCTATGACATCATACAACATCATGCCGAAGACTGGCAGGCCGAAGACCAGAGAGAAGAGGAAGGAACGACGCCACCTGATGATAAAAAAAACACAATACAACGTAGACAGAAGAAAATGTAGTGCACTATTATATGGCAAAAACCAGGCTGTTTCGGGAATCATTAAACTGGCAATCAAACTAATGTTTTATTTTGCTGCTTTATCCTTCTCTATATGATTCAGGGGCCAAATTGGGGGGAAATGAAAAATCCATGAAAAAAATAGGAAATATCCATTTCTTTTCTTTCATATAACCTGTTTATAGGTAGAGAGATCTTTACATATGGTAAAATCTTACAATTCTACATTTAAAAGTATTTTTGTTCAATCCAGAAATCAGGAAAATCCTTACAAATGTCACCCATGAATTGATTTTATAATATCAAACTTACGCCATAACTTTAATATATACAACCATTCTGTACTCACCTTCGTATAGTATCTGAGTGGTCTAAAGCGGCAGTCTTATCTTTGTTGCTACCAGTGATTAGACTTGCCCCAAATCCCGTGTCCTAAAATAACCACATTGAAAGCATAACAATGAAAACAAAGATGCTGCAAACTGCTCACTGACTTGATTTGCCATGAAATTTACAAATCAAAAAGTTTGATGGTCTGACTTTGCGACGCCGGTAGGATCTTTTTCAGTATTAAAAACAAGCTGATCCACGAGTCACATGTGTCACCTTTTTAGGTCGATCCCGATATGTTTTGTGTTCTAAAGAAAAAATAGCAAATTGTATGCAATTTTAAAACAATGACCTCAAATGACCCAAGTGACCTTTGACCTCCAATTTCAGAAGACTTGTCATGAACCCCCACCCAAGGATCACTCCATCCAAGTTACATTAAATTCCATCAAATTCTGTGGACAAAGGAACATTTTTGAACAATGACCTCTAATGACCCCTACATGACCTCTGACCTCAGTAATCTGATGAAGAATTGTGTCTTCCCATCCAACAGTCATTGCATCCAAGTTGCATCGAAATCCAAGAAAGCATGTAGAAGGTATACATATTTTTTCAAAAACTTAACTTAACTTTAATATTCGGTCACACATAGATACGGAGATACGTCCGACTTCACGGGAAGGACTTGTGGGGTAGAAACATTGTTTTCCTTTTATACCTTTTTCTAAAGATTTCACTTGTGGGGTACCGTTCCCTTTGTATGAGTATCCCACGAGTGGTCCTGGTATGTACGGACATACAGAATTTAGGACTGATAAGTGTCCCCCAAAACTTTGTTTATGCAACACAATATATGAAACTTAAATTAAATTTAAATTTTTTGGGGGAAAAAAATGCCCTGAATAAGACCCTTTCAGGTTGGCGTTAATTTTCTTTTATTTTCAAGCAAACCTGAGTCATTGACCCTGATTGGTCAACCCATGGCATACTCTCTCACATAGCGCTATACAGGAGAAAAATTATTTCAAAACTGAATCATGAAAAAAAGACTTACTTCGACAGCCTTGATAATGTCCCTTGGTCCCGTCACAGAGGGCTCAAACTCAAAGCGCCCTCTAGATGTTGCAAGGGCCACGGACGCCGACTTGACTCCCGGCTTTTTAATGAGCGCAGACTCTATCAGAGCTACGCAGGAGGCACAGGTCATGCCGGTAATCTGTACAGAGAGTTAGAAAGAAAAATACACAATAGTTGTAGTCAAGTCATAACAAGTCCATCACAAGTCCAGCACAAGTCCAGCACAAGTCCAGCACAAGTCCAGCACAAGTCCATCACAAGTCAATCACAAGTCAATCATAAGTCCATCACAAGTCCTCACAAGTCAGTAACAAGTCAATCACAAGTCCATCACAAGTCCATCACAAGTCCTCACAAGTCCATCACAGGTCCATCACAAGTCCATCACAAGTCCCTCACAAGTCCTCACGAGTCCACCACAAGTCCACCACAAGTCCACCACAAGTCAATCACAAGTCCATCACAAGTCTATCACAAGTCCATCACAAGTCCATCACAAGTCCTCACAAGTCCATCACAGGTCCATCTCAAGTCCATCACAAGTCAGTCACTAGTCAATCACAAGTCAGTCACTAGTCAATCACATATCAGTCACAAGTCAATCACTAGTCAATCACTAGTCAGTCACAAGTCAATCACTAGTCAATCACTAGTCAGTCACTAGTCAGTCACTAGTCAATCACAAGTCAGTCACTAGTCAATCACAAGTCAGTCACTAGTCAATCACAAGTCAGTCACTAGTCAATCACAAGTCAGTCACTAGTCAATCACAAGTCAGTCACTAGTCAATCACAAGTCAGTCACTAGTCAATCACAAGTCAGTCACTAGTCAATCACAAGTCAGTCACTAGTCAATCACAAGTCAGTCACTAGTCAATCACAAGTCAGTCACAAGTCAATCACTAGTCAGTCACTAGTCAATCACAAGTCAGTCACTAGTCAATCACAAGTCAGTCACTAGTCAATCACAAGTCAGTCACTAGTCAATCACAAGTCAGTCACTAGTCAATCACAAGTCAATCAAGCTACCAGTTACATGCACATATGTATCTAATTAAGTTTAATCACAAAGCTATTTTATTGTTATTGTTCATGATCCCATTACTTGGGACCTGACTTGTGATTGGTCCGTGATTATCTTCACTGCAACTCTGAAAATCACGTTGACTTTTCAATCAACTCATTAGTACTTCAGCAAATTATATTAAATTATATTTCAATAGTAATCAAAGAATAGTCAAAATGTTTGGTCTCAGAACCTGACTAACATACAAACTCATTCTAATACAGCTCCAGCAACCCTTCCTGGCACAACAAACAGACACACAGACCCACAGACAAACAGATAAACACCATAACAAACAAACAAACTTACATGCAGTTCCAGCAGCCCTTCCCGGCCCCTACGCTCCTCGTCTTCCATCACCGTGGCCTCAAAGCCGATGTCTGTCACCATGGCGGCGACCTCACTGGGGGTCAGGTGGCAAGTGTCAAAGGTCACCTCAGCCTTCTGAGCCATCAGGGCCACCATGACCGATTTGATGCCTGGATTTAATGAAAACAAAAATAATTTAATAAAAAAAATGCTAGGGTCCGGAAATTGGCCACAAATTAGGCCAAGTTTCACCTAACATGGTTCACTTGAACATATCTCGGAAATTCCAAAATCAAATACTTCATTAAAATGGTATTTTAACAAGCAGAGCCTTTTTTTCATTCTAATCAACTAATGGCCATTTTCAAGACTTGCCTTTCTGCTTGCCCAGTTTGTTCTCTATCAGCGCCACACAGGAGCTGCAGGTCATGCCCGTCACATGCAGGTAGCATTTACCCACCTCCCCGTCCACCAAGTCCACCAACGCAATCTCCTCCGCCCGGTCTGGCGGGGGCTTGAAGGACACGTGGGCCCCCTCCAGAGACTTGGGTCTGTCTGGTGGGGAAGGACCATCTGAGTTGGGGCTTGTCTCTGTGGAAAAAGAACAAGGGACATCTTTTAAAGGCAAGTAGCAACATTGGTAATTTACCTGGAAAGGCACCTGTAAAACTGATTCAAGAAAAAAAATTGTCAGTGATAGGGCTGGTTCAAAATTACCTGTGAAATTATTCGGTTAAAAATGATTCTATTAACAGAAAACTATCATTTAAAGTGGTTTCAAACAGTGCATTACATGTAGCAACAGAATCCAGTTGCCAGACCCAAAAAAATTGGGATGCTTATCTATATTCTCAAAACTTATTGTCATGCACTCTACTAAAGATTATCAGCGATTATTTTTTCATCAAACAAAGAAAATGCACAAGGGAAATTAACCTATCTAAGCTTTTTGAGACTCTTCTTCAGTATTGCTCAACTTTTAGTGGCTTACATATGTACATGTATGAAGTAAAAAATAAGGAAATTAGCTGAAATGAGGAAAGTGCCACGTTTGCAAATTGCAGCAAATAAGACCAAAAGAACACCCCCCAAAACAAACAAAATTAAAGTAAAATCACCTGTGAACACTTGCTAATTTAACAAAGAGACCTGATCAGTGCCTTTGGCCAGATAAAATACAACTTGCCCAACTCCGGTGAGTTGCAATATCAGAATTTTAGCAATTTGAACGCTGAAGTACCTTTCAATGAGGCCTCGAAGCCCATGTCATCAATAGCCTCCACCAGCTCACCAGCCGTCACCTCGGTGGGATCATACTCCACCGTGCCGCTGCTCTCAGCCAGGGACACCTTGATGGATCTCACCCCGATCTTCTCCCCGATTTTCCCCTCGATGGACCTCACGCAGGAGTTGCATGTCATGCCCTGGACGAAGAACCACAAGTATACTATGAGTGGAACACTAGTAGTTATCCCGCGAGCGCGAGCGGAACACGGAATAATGTAGGTAGTGCGTCTGTGTCCACATGCCATGAGGCTGAAGGCCGAGTGGTATGTGGGACACAGACGCACTACATTTTCCGTGTTCCACGAGCACGAGCACAACAGCAAAATTATCTTCAAACAAACTTGACACGCAGTAAAGATGGAACATGCACGCTGTACACGAACCTTTCAGCGGTTATCGTATTACACATGCTTGTTGTATGGAATGGCGCGCGTATCTTAGAAAAGCGCAATACGCTGAGTGCCATATGGACCGTGGCTTGTTGCCATGGATCAACCAATCAGGATCCAGGATTCAAGTTTACTTGCAGATAAAGAAGAGTGTAGGCCTAGTGAGATGAATACAGACGCACTACACTTTTCGTGTTCCGCAGACCTCAAGTTAAATAGCGAATTTATCTTCAAGCAAACTTGATGCACAGTAAAGATGGTACTTATACATGTACAGACACACCATATGTTACTTTTTAGCAGATATCTTATTACACAAGCATTCAGCAGTAATAGAATAGTGCCATAAACCGAGTGCAATATGGACCATGCTACAATGGCCTGCAAATGCATGTGTACATGATATATGTATCTGATTATTTTTGTGATCAATTTACTGGTTTTTACACTTCAAGTTTTGACTGAATAGTTTTGACTGAAATGTAGACAGCATTTTTTCTTCGGACACTTGGCCTCCGAAAAATCCAAAAGGGGGGGGGGGGCTGGTACCATTTTCCAATGGGAGTGCTGTTCAAACCGGGCAATTATGCGCTTTTCTGGGCGGCACAATTGCCAACAGTCGCGGGAAATTTCAAAAAGAGTAGCCAGCATGGTACATGCAGGACTACTTTAAGTGTTCTACATGAACTTTACTTGATCCCTATACATGTATGTATGGCATTCCTTATTGGACAAAAAAAATGTTGGAGTGTGTGGCTACTCAACAGTGGGCATTCTCCAAAGCCAAAACTGAAGTGTACCGGAGAGTGCAGTAAGGTGAACTGAAATTGAAAAATGTGACTATTATATTACTGACACAGCAATCAATATATCATATAAACCAAAACTCATTAAAGACCTACCTGGATGTTGATGACGGCCCTTCTTGTGTCAGGCTTGTCTTGTGGGATGTAACACTCAAATCCAATATCGTCAATCGCTTCCCTGAGCCTCTCGGGATTAGTTTCGGACGGATTGTATTTGACGGTAGCGGTTTCCTCCTGAAGGGATACCGTGATCTCGTGTACGCCGCGCTGCGTTGAGATGTTCCCCTCTATGCTCCGCACGCAAGAATTACACGTCATTCCCTTCACTGCCAACGTGACAGTTTGTGTGGGAGGGGAGACGGAGTTCAAGTCAATCAGGACAAAGTTCGTCGGCAGGGTGGCGTCGAATCCCATGTCCTCGATTCCCTCCCGAAGCTTTTCAGCTGTGGTCCTTTTGGGGTCAAACTCGATCCTGGCTTCCTTCTTTTCCAATGAGACGTTAATTTTGTGAACCCCGTCGAATGCAGAGAGCCTGCCCTCGATGGAGCGCACGCAGGAAATGCACGTCATCCCTTCAACATGGATGGTTACGGACGCGCGGGAGCCGACTGGCGGGGATGCTGGGTCTTTCAGAGTGGTTTCGAATCCCATGTCGTCGATGGCTTCCCGCAGCGCCTCTGGCGAGATGCGCGTGGGTGCGTATCGAATCCGACCGACTTTGTCCTGCAGCGAGACTTGGATCCTCTCCACCCCGTCCACGTCGGATATGCGTCCCTCGATGGACCGCACGCAGGAATTACAGGTCATCCCCTCGATACCGATGACGACTTCTCGCGACTCTTGCGACTCGCGACCACCATCCAGCGTGGCCTCGAACCCCATGTCTTCAATTTCGCTGCGCAGCTGCTCTGGCGTGACGACCGAGGGTTGGTGCCAAATCCGCCCCTGCTTTTCCTCAAGGGAAACCCGTATTCCGCAAACTCCCCTGGTACTTCCAATTTTTCCTTCGATGGACTTCACACATGAATTACACGTCATGCCTTTGATACAAACGACTGTTTCCTTGACTACAGTCTGCAGGGGGTCCTCTCCCACGGCCGCTTCGAAACCCATGTCATCTATTCGATCCCTCAATTGTGATTGGTCAGTCCTTGTAGGGTCAAAGGTCACAACAGCTCTCTTTTCATCCAGAGACACCTGCAGTAAGGGGGAACTGCATATTTTTACATTTTATTTACACAGGAAATTACAGTCCAAGAAAGAGGCAAGCATATTCAAAAACGGAAGTATCTACATACAAAAATCAATACGTTTAAGAGTTCAATATTGATGTTTGCTGTAGTGCGCGCCACCATGTCAAAACCTATACAAACAAACTCAAGATAGGAGTCATTGCCACTGGCAGCAAAAAGACATGCGCACTGATTGTAACAACACTGAGGCAGATTTCATTTAATAATCGAAACACTTGTCAAATTAGGTTTTGCCCTTCACCGACACACAAACACTGTTTACTCAGTGTGCCAACTCCTGAGTAAAAGCTGGAAAAAAAACACTAAATTTTTTAGGTGAAGGGCAAAACCTAATTTGATTTACATCACCCCGACGCAAAAATTCCATCTTACAAAACACTTATCAAAACCAGTTCGCATTGCTTTTTCAAAACCACTGCCATCATTGTGATTTTTACAATGTAAGCGTAAATATGCATTACGATTCGTATGCATTTTTGTGATTTTTTTTAATGCACCAATTTCTTGCTGCGTTGATGCACCGATGTACAAAGTAGTATGGTGTGGACCTTCATGCACAATCTGAACAGCAACTTCCAAGATTTAAATTTTTGAGTAGGGTTTCTTTAACCCATGTTATTTTTTTAAACAGGTATCCGGTTCCTGTACTACCGTAACCCTGTTCCAAAATGCACACCCCTACTATTTATGGCAATTAATTCTGTTAAGGAGAATACACGAGAAAGTGTGGATTCGATATTCGTAAATTAAGAATCCACACTTGCGAGTGTATTCTTCGACTTAAACCATTGCGTCAACAGAAGTATTGGAAAGAATGCTGCAACCTGACGCCACTCCTTTATTCATATATCATCTCAATGAAGGCCATTCGTTGCAAAAATGATGATAAGACATGAATCTGGGACTGATAAATGTTTCCAAAATTGTTAGGATATACTTGAAATGACTCTCCATAGACGTTGTACACAAGCGCGGAAGTGGCGTCAGGTTGCAACATTGTTTCCTAGCGTGTTTAGCATGTGGATCGACACACCCGTACAAGATTTCTTTCTGACTAAAAGTAGATTTTGCAGTGACGGCGGAAAATCTGACAGTGAAGATGCATTGGTAATTTTCGGAAAGCAAATTTTCACGCAGACGGTCCTATTCATGCTCATTATGGAGAACAATTGTCCGACATGTTCAAAGTGTGGATTCGTAATTCCGAATCCACACTTTACTGAAGATTCGTCGTTCCGAATCCACACTTTGTGACCAGTGTAAGAGATTCGTAGATCCGAATCCACACTTTTAACAATAGTGTGACGTCATAGCAATGGTTTAAGTACTTATCACTAGCCAAAGAATTAATTGTACTCAAGCTTGTACACCCACAGATCTGTACCGGTACATGTGCACATTCAATGTACATGTACAAAATTAATGGCCCTCAACAAAAGCACAAGTTTGTAAGTTATACATTTGGAGAACTTTACGGTGTACATACATGTTCCGGTAGTGTCCACAACAATTCTTCAAAAACCGGCAGATCCTGGTTACAATTGTTGACTTATTTTCACACAAATACGAGCCACACAATACCACACTTCAGCCGTGAACAACTTTCCAGGCAGACCTGTAACAATCACTGAACACACCCAGGAACACAGTTAGTGTATTTGGGACATGTGTTATTTTCCTGCTTCAGTGAACTGTGGAAAATGACAGGCAGTTCCTAAGCCTAAAGGTATAAAGGTAGCTTTGTGTGGGTATGATCAACTTCCTTGTTCGTGGAAATCAAAAAGCAGCTCGCCCCAACGGCATAATCTGGGCACCATTTCCGTACACGCAGAATGCTTTGAGTGTCCTGGGTGATTTCCTCGTTGGGTCATTTGCATATTACTTTGTCCCAATAGACCACTTGCATTGAGCCGCCATCTTTGAGACGTTTGCTGGTTCCAGAGGGTCAGCCAGGACTAGAATTGGGTGTGCTCTGAGAGCTGCGTTACTAGGCTTGCCTTGTCTTTGTTTTACCTGTAATTCATTAACAAGGAATGCTCAAGAGATCAATCTCTGTTGAACAAAAGATGGCTACATTTTGTGTGGACACGCACTGGATTTTTTCTAGAGGGGGGCAAAACATATTTTTCCCAAAAAATTCTTGTATTTCTCAACAAATTCTCGATTTACGTGTATTAGTTTTAGAGTGGGGCAGGGACAATTTGGACCCCCCCCTCCCCACCCATTAAATTTACACCACTATGACTTCGCGCCACTTTTTCTTTCTTTCTTTCTTTTTTTTCTTCCTTTTTTTTTTTTTGCTTTTCGGGGGGGGGGGGGGTGGAAGCGCCCCCCCCCTTGCCCCCCCCCCCCCTCGCGATGCCCATGCCCTTCACATTTTTTCTTTTCCTTTTTATTTCACAAAGTGTGAAAAACTGTTCTCACATTGGGAAACAATTTTCACACCATTTCACAGAAGTGGGAAACATTACATACATGCCATTGACAGTTGACACCGCGAATGGGAATGAGAAATTTTGTGAGAAGCATTAATATTTACATCCCCACCGGCATTTCCCATATTATGAAAATGGTTTCCCATTTGTGCAAAAAGGTGTGAAAACGGTTTCCCATTTGTGTGAAAAGGTGTGAAAACGGTTTCCCATTTGTGTGAAAAGGTGTGAAAATGGTTTCCCACTTGTGTGAAAAGTTGTGAAAATGGCACTTGGACCATTTGTTGTTTTACCATGTTTACTTTTTCACATTTTACCAGACCCAATATTCAAGGCTTTTAAACCCCGGTGACGACAAAAAAGTTGTATGTTTCCTCTTGTGTGGCGCGTTCTGGCAAAATGAGACGGAACTGGGCACAGGCCACAGTGAAGAAAAATGCAACAAACTGAATAGTGATTTTAATCACTATTCAAGTTAAAACTTCTTCTGATTTTCAGATTTATTTATATCTTTGATACCCGGTATGTCTACTATGCATAGTTTGAATAAGGGTACTATAAAAATCGTTAAATAAAAGTTGTAGTTAAGAAGAAATAAATTGGCATCGTTCATTTTCACGAATATTAACTCGAACGTTACAGGCCTTTTTGTCAGTTTCAATTTTTTTGACAAGTCGATAAATGCAAACTGTAAACAGCAACACATGTAACTTGTCAACAGAATGTCCGATTGAAATGCAATAAACAGTATTTTAAGGAGAATTTTATTGTCATTCTTAATGTACCCACGACCATCCATTTTGTCCTCTGCCCAGTTCTGTCTCATTTTGCCAGAATCACACACTTGAGCATGGCATTCTTTGGAAAATTTACCCGGTAGCAAGAATATTACACAAATTCCTAGTTCATTCTCCAGACTATACATTTGATATTGACAAAGACTTGAACAAGATATTAATATCCACCGAATAGTTCTGCAACGCTGGGTTAATTAATATAATAACCCGGGCAGCCGTGGGTGGATAGAGAACAGATGGCTAAGGACAGTCTACGTCTCTCAATTTACTGATCGGTGCATGCACAACAAACTGACATTTTCATACTTTTCACAAACATATGGTGCATGATCATGAAAATATTTAAGTAATCTAGTTAGAAACAATTAGGGCCTTTGCATTTTTCAATAATTTCGTATTTGATTTTTTGAACTTCAAGCGAATATTAGAGACGTACACTTATCAGGCAACTTTTTAAAGTACATGATCTGATACACTGTGCCCTCTGGAGACATGCACACAATAGGGAACAAAAAATTGTATACGTCTCCAGGGCAATTTCTATAGATGAATACATGTACGTCTCCACAAGGTTTTCACGAAATGTGGATTATTCTCAAAAACTAGGAATTTCCAAGGTATGTTGATCCGTCGCAAATGGTAGAGTTTTAGAAAAGGGATATTAAGTCCGAATTTCAGCCAAGGAAATTAGTTCTGGTTAAAATAAGAGCATTTTGAATCTGCACTTTCAAACTCAAAAACTTTAGGAAACAAATTTCAGTATGCGTGTACCGGTACATATTTATGGTGTAAATCGTGGATTTTCTATTGTTCCTCTTCCCTTTTCCTTTTTTATACACCAACTTTTTTGCAACAGCTCTCATTGGTTTTGTACACGTGTTCTAATCGAGGTCGTCCTCGATTTGGTTCCTGTCCTCGATTCACTGATGATGTTGCACGTGTGTGTCCTCGATTTACATGTACACCATAAACACGCGCACTAATTCATACTGGAATTTGTATCCTTGTGGAGACATTTCTTTATTCTCGTGTAGTTTTGTTCCCTATTGTCTGCATGTCTCCAGAGGGCACGGTGTATCAGATCATGTGTACCAGTACATGTACAATGTATGCGAAAGCCTAAACTGTATTACGGCAGTCCATTTTCGAATTCATGTAAGTTAGTTTTGATTATAAATTCAAACCTGCCTTTGACAGAAATATCAGAAACCCTCTGATCATGTTACACCAGCTACAAGTGCGTGCTGAGCCAGGCAAAAGTCACTAGCAAAGTGCGCCAGGCAAAAGTCACTAGCAAAGTGCGCCTGGCTAAAAGTTGCGTGCAGCGATCAATAATAACGGCCACTGGAGTGGAGCGGAGCGGTTTGCAGTAAGTATTGATAACTGTCAAGGGCTATATCAAATTAACATCAAAATTCAATTGAATTAAGGAAAGACTTTCTAGCAATTATTAAAAACATGTCTTTTATGATAAATTTACAGTGAGCTTTTGAACTTTTGTTGACAAACTACATTGTACATGTACATACATACATGTATACATGTACATCACTTGAAAACAAAACAATAAAAGTAAAGTTGAAATATGTACTTAATAAGGGTTTAAGTGTACATGTACACTACATGTAATACTAATAGGGAAAAATAAGAGCAATTCTGCGTTGTCAAAAGGTACGTATACGATACTTGATAACTACCCGCAAACGTACCGACCGATTTACATGTGGTGAGAAAAAACTTGGTCAAAGTGAAGGGATGGTACCAAATACTTTGTGAAATTAGTCAGCCGGAAATGGTATCGTTCGAAAGAAAACAATCTCTGTAGGTGGTTTAAAAAAGTGTGCCCGCGTTCATATTTTTTTTTATAAACATTTCAAAACATAATTCAGTTACACTGAGCTAAATCTTCAACGGGCTGGTTTGCATGCACCCTGCCTGAAAATAAAAGATTAGGCCCCCAAAAATCTCCAGTTTCTGATAAAGAGCTTGCCCCAAAAGTGGTGCGGCGACGCGAGTTTTTTTTTTTTCCTTCAAATGTTGGCTGATGTTACATTGATGCTTCGATCCACCTTAAAAACTCTCAAACATATCCTTCAGAGTGGAGCTGGAGGTGACCTCAGTAAGGCCATAAGGCTTAAGAATTCTGCACCCACTTACAATCTTGACTGACATGAACAGTCTTCGGGAAATTTGGATTAAGTACGTACCTTTCAAATGATTATTTCTAGTGTGTAATCCCACCAACACTCATTTTAATGTAAATTTGACAATAGACCTTCTGCGTAGCATCCATGTTTGATGGCATCTTTTGAATTTTTAATTCAGTAACAATAAATAAACAAAAGGTTCACTAATGCTTACCGGTATCTCAGGCATTGCTCTCAAAAGATGGCTGCTACACATGAGGTCTATAGGTTATGTAGGAATGGGTGTAAAATCCATAACAAGCAAATGATCATTTACAGGCATGTAGAATCATTAGCATTTATCCCAAAAAGTAATCTAGCGAACTATTATGAAAACGCTTACTTGGATTACAGATCATACAGGAGCTAAACAACCCGTGAAATTAGTCCATCTGGCTAGCTGTCATTTAGAAGAAATCAAGAAATGTAGGTGATTTCCAACGATCAGTTAATTGACTGATCTTTGGAAATAGAGAGTTCTACTTACAAAATCGTGTTTCAAAATCAAAAGCTTGTCCGTCGTTTTTCACTGTTTTCTCAAAAAGTTTCAACTCCACTGAGCTGAAGCTTTAACAGGGTAGGTTTTGAGCATTTTTCTTTGGATTTTGAGTGGTGTTATTATTGGAAACCAACAAAATGCATGAAATGCAAATGATCCTGTACGCCGTTAAGAACTCACAGACGTAATTATACTTGCCTTGATGTGTTGCACTCCGTCCGCGCCCCCGATCTGCTGCTCAATGTTCCTCACGCAGGAGTTGCACGTCATGCCTTGCACGCTAATAACGCAGCAGTGGTAGTCCCTGCCCAACGCGTCCATTGTCAAGGTTGTCTAGACCTATCAAATTATGAACATTGAGAGATCGTATTTTCAGTTTTGTTTAATTGGAGAATGAATGGGCGTGTTGTCATGGTAACAGTGGGGTGATTATTTATGGATGTGGAAATGATATTCTGCTGCAGTAATTGCCATCAAGGCTAACTGCGCATCTGAGGCTCTTGTCAAGGCTACAGACTGATTGTGACAATTATAATTAAATACTACAAGTATACGTGGGCACATGCTGATAATAGACGAACATGTACGTGTAGTTATACATGATAGCTCTAGGTGCAGTAAATAATTTCCCCTATGCGCTACTGATAAATTTATACCCAAATTAAAAAAAAAAAGGTTAAAATACTCACAAATCTCACAGGCGATCAAGATGTATTGAATTGTAAAAGCTTGAGAACTACACTCTTTCATTTTAAATTCAATTGTGGGTTGGTTATCCACTCAGACTGAGGACTTAGAATAGGGTGTGTGCAATTTCAATGGGCCCGAGGAACATTTTTGTCAAGGAGGCTTCCACTGAAGGCACAGCACACTGGAGCCTTCCATTTCTAGAACTAGTAGAAGTAGGCTGATCTTTATTACATCATTAGCATACTGGCTGTGTAAGCTTTCTTTGGGTATTCCAGAGTAATCAAAGATGACCTCCGTAACAAACAGACCTGGGCCAATTTCACAGCGCTGCTAAGCACAAAAAATTTGCTTAGCACAAAAAAAGTCTGGCTTATAAAAGCAGGTTACCGGCCAAAACTCCATGGGATGTTTATTGCTCATGATTAGCTAACCCTAACTCCCTAGGCCTTTTTGCTAGGAAGTAGCCTCAATTCTGCAAAATCCTCCAATTGGCCTCATGGAAAAATAGCATATAGCCTCAATCCTGCAAATTCCTCCGTTATTTCTTGAATATGGTCCATGGAGGGGTGACCACTGCCTGAATCCTGCAAAATCCTCCGGCTATGACTGTCAATAGGTTGAGGCAGAGGCAGAGGCAGTGACATCCTGGAGCAGTGTGGAGGATGTCAAGTATAATCAAGGACTAAATTTATGCACGGCTGAGCATAAACAACACAAGGTCCGGCCCAAGACCTTGACACAGTGCATACTCCGAAATCAGCAACGCACTTTTGCCATGTAACCTCAATCCTGCAAATTCCTCCAATTTTCCAAAATTATTTTGGAGGATTCAGGGTGGTTAGGGTTAGTATTCAGCTGTTGTTTGCTTAGCAAGAAAATCACTGGGAGTTTTGGCTAGTAACATGCTTTTATAAGCCAGGCTTTTTTTGTGCTAAGCAAATATTTTTGCTTAGCAGCGCCGTGAAATTGGGCCCTGTTTAAAACCAGCGCCGGCGAAATATCCACTGGCAGTCTGTGAGGTATCAGGTCAACTTGGAGCCACTGTTAACTCGGACCCCAAGAAGTTCGGCATTTTTCAGAAGTCTATTTTTTGTGTAATTACCAGGTTGGTTTGCACACGTTTGCGTATCTAAATTCCAACACGAAATTACACAAATATAGACGTCTGAAAAATGCCGAACTTCTTTTCTATCACTATAACATGTATAAGAGGGTGAGTGTGCTTCGAAAGCAATAAACTACAAACAAAGTCTAAATATGAAAACCAAAACTTGACAAAGCTCTACATTTTCAGGTACAAATGTACATGTTTCAAGTGTGCCTTTATTTACAGAGGTAGTCCAGTAAATTGGCAACATTTATGGGGCTAGACCGTCCGAGTTGGATCGAAACCATCTGTGAGACTGTGTCAAAATACAAAAAGGGATATATATCCTCAATCCTCCTATTTCTGCGCAGTTAAGGCTTTGCAACCAAGTAGCTTAAAGCTATAGTCCATCATTTGCAGCAATCCGAAAAGTAACTGGCGTAATTATTGTTGAAAAACAAACTTGGTTGAAAGATAGTGAGGGAACTAAACTCCCTGTGAAATTATTCTTTCTGGGAAGCTGTCATTTTGAAGTAATCAACGAAAGAAGGCATTTCCAACGGTGATTCTTAAGAAGCACCGTAGGAAAATTTAAATTAGTAATTCGTTTGTTATTCAGCGCAGCGCGCACAAGTATTGGAACGACGCACACGCGCGCGCGGTTGTTATAATTCATCGGATCAGTGCGCTACGTCGCGTATAGCTGCAATTCAAAACAATTCAAAACATGATTCAGTAACTTTTGATTTGAAATTGAGATCTTAAAATGCTGTTTTTCTCGGAATGTACAGCTGAAACTTAGCTGAAACTTCATCAGGTTAGTTGTTCAGTATCCTTCATTAGATTTTGAACTCTTTTGTTGCTTCAAACAAACAAAATGCACAAATTACAAATGATGGACTGTAGCTTTAAAATTAGCAAAGCAACCACTCTTTTTCTCAACAAAACTTATCGATCATCCACCATACCAATTAACAAAACGAAATCTCTTTATTCATGGCGACAAGCGGGGAATCCCAAAGCGTGCAGTTTTTGGTGTCGTAGAAAAACTCCTGCCTAATTCTAGGCAGTGGACGCTTCATGTAAAATCTACGGTGTCCGGGCCATGCATCTCAAGTACAATTTTTTTTATATACATACATGTACTATGTATGAGTTAGACTCCATAGTGTCAGGAAAATTTATTTTATTGAGCTTTTCAAACATATTTTCTTTTTTTTTTCCTTCCTTTTTTCAATGCCAATTTACACTTTTCGAAATGTCAAGATAATTTCAATATAGGGGCCTAATGGTTGAATCTTCCATCATAGATAATTGTTAATTTAAAGGGAATGTACATCATTGGCTTTTGCTGTAATTTTCAGAAATGAACTATTTGAAGGGTTAGTATAATCTGATAATAGATCAAATATTGTTACACTGACATGTTCGAAGTTTTGTGTTCGAAAATGCTGGAAACCAAGAAAAACAAAAACGTTCAAGTAGTCTGGTTCCTTGACTCCACTAAAGATAAAATGGATCAATTAATAGATGCCGGAAAATTGTAAGGTAAGGGAACCAGTCTAGCTGGCCTGCACCCGTTCATGAACATGTAACCAATAGCAAACAAAATTTGGACCGAAAAAAAGTGTAAAGTTGGAGCAGTAGTTGAAAAATAGTTAGGTTTTTCCAACGGTGGTCGGCTGACCACCGTTGGAAATGTATACAAAAATACCATTTTCTTGAAAATGACTTCAAACCAGGTGCTATTATTTTACAGGATGCTTTACACTGTCATTTACCAACATCCTAGTAAGGTATTTCGTAAAAACTTGGTAGTTTTATTTTTCGATGTTTGCAAATTGTATATTCCCTACAAAGGCCTATATTTACATTATTTACATTATTTACATAAATACAATTTAATGTGGATCCCAGTTTATATTGTTATTCTGATTATCCCAATCAACAGAGACGATTGTCAAGATGTCAGATTTTAGTAGTTATGAAAAAAAATATCCAAAACTAGAGGTCTATGCCTGTTCGATGTACAGGACATATGCTTTTCCGCATTTTCTTTTTTTAAATATTTATATTCAAGAAATATATTTGAAAATGCATCAAAGCATTATAGAAGTAAATGTTAAAAAATTATAAAGTAATAAAAACACTTTTATGATGACGTCATCATGAATTTATTTCAGATTTTGCATACTATTAAGAGTAGGCCTACTACCTACCCACCAGGTTTCAAGTCAATTGGACTTACCCTTATATGTGTTTTGAAAAATCACATTTTTGATGATGTCATCGTGATGTCACACATTTTTCAAAAAAAATTGTGCAGATACCTATTACATAACAAACTTAATACAAAGGAATTTTGAATTTAGCATGTTTGAAGCCAATCAGACGAATAAAAGTGTTGAATTTTGTAAGCAGAATAAAATTGTAAATATTTAAAAAAATCATAGAAAATCTACCAATGACGTCATCGTGACATCATTTCAGATTTTTTGTACTAGTATTATTATCTACCCACCCACCAAGTTTCATTACAATTGGACATTCCCTTATATGTGTTTTAAAAAATAGCATTTTTGATGACTTCATAATGACGTCACATTATATTCATAATTTTGTGAGTATGCCTGTTACCTAACAAACATAATACAAAAAGAATTTTGAATTTAGCATATTGCGTTCGTTAGATATGGCTTAAAGGTCCAAAACTTCAAAAATCGATGTAAAATCACACGATGACGTCATGATGACGTCATTTCAACTTTCGTCTATAACACATCCCGGTCTACCTATATACCAAGTTTCAACTCATTCGGACTTACAGTTCTCTAGATATAGGATGTTAAAGTTTGCATATTGAAGATGACGTCACGTGACCCATGATGACGTCACAGTGACGTCACTCTTCGGTACACAATGGCACTATGGGGTCTTTACATGGGACAAGTTTCATTAGAATACGAGTTTGTTTTAGGTCCAAAATGTCGCGGGGAACAAAACATTTACAAAGTCTATGGGATTTGGGATAGAACAAAAAGGAAAAAAAAAAGAAATAGAAAAAAAAAACAATCGGAACAAAAACAATGCTTTTCCGCTTTGAAGCGGAAGTGCAATAAACAAACGTTTTTTTTTTGTTGCATTGTAAGTTTTAATCCCCTAAAGTCTTTTATTATGACTTGTTAACTATAATACTGACGACAGTGGGAGACTAACAAAGGTCACTGTACGTTCACATTTTTTACTTCTGCAGGCCGGAGGCATCCACCTGCATTTGTACTTGTCTGTAAAAAGCAGATGTTTTGTTTCATTTTTTGACTCATTTACCGGTAAAGCATTCACTTTCCACATTTTTTTTCGGCTGCTGATTAAAGTTCGTGCATCAAAGGATATGATATGAGTAAAGGAACATCATTTTTAAGACGCGCGCATTGCAAAATTTTAATTTAAGGTGGGTGCATAGGAATAGGAGCGCGTAGCTTTAGGGGGTCTGACGATAAGAAGGTGTTTCACAGTAAATAAACGCCATCTTCATGATCTTGCCTGCCGGGCAATTTTATATGCGTTGTGGTGTACGCATCGTCAATGGAATTTTTTTGCGCTTGTAAGTCATCGTGCGGTCATTCATAAATGCGCCCGTATCTAGCAACTTTTTTTCTTTGCATCGTGAACAAGATGGCACATTATTATTTATTAGTATTACCGTGAAACACCTTAATCCTTATTAAAATTAAAAGATTTTTGCAGACTAAGTCATTTTCGAACATTATATGAAAACACTCTTTTAGTCTTAAAGACTCAAACGAAAGGTTGGGGCCTGTAACTACACAATCGCCCTGCAACAGGGAGCACGCAGGAAACTGTACCACAAGAAACAATCAAAGTGCGCCACGCCCACTAAAAAGGGGGTTGCCAAAAAAAGCGAGAGGTCATGCATGCAGCCCTGGCACTGTTGCGGCAGGTGAGTTCGAGAAAAATTTAACCAGAGTTACAAAAAAATACAAGAAATGAAAAATCTTTTAAAAAGAATGATTACCTTAGAGCAGGAGGTGTTAACAAGATAACAGAATCATCAGTTTAGCTGGTATCCGAACAGTTTAGATATTGATTTATTGAGAGAGCGGGGAGTCTCGTGTCACATCTCGTCAAGCTTATCATGATTTCTGCACGTAATCGTATAGTCTGGTAATTATTTTGCCCGTCATTGTACATACCTAATATGAGTCCAGGAACACGACACATTTGTTTTCGACGTGTTCCCTGACGTCTCAACACTTATTCAGTATAAGCGAGAGGGTAGAGTCTGGTACTCAGTAAAATCCCCGTTTTCATCCTTGTGTTTGCACACGTACACTTCCGTGTTGCATTGCAATGGTTACCATGCAAACTCGAAAATAATGACTGTCAAAACGTTTGTAAGGTTCGTGCTGGGGTTTTATAATGATTATATGTTTATTCGGTCAATGTTAAGTAAACATCGCTTTAACAACGGTTAACTAAAAGTTGAAAACAACAGTGTTGTAACGTTAGGCAGTTGAAACTCTTGACTCTTGTGGCACTGCCACTGTAGTATAGTAATGTAGGCGTGGCAACGGCCAAATGCCATTTTTTTAAAGGGGGGTGTAACGTGGATGGGGGAAGGCGAGGTGGGGGGATTAGGTGCAGAACTACTACTGCTAACTTTCTTTGCAGTCTTGGCCCCATTGTTGTTTGCCACAAAATTTGAGTTTTTTATCATGTTTAAATATTGGGGGCGGAAAGGGGGGGGGGGGACTGGCAGAGTTTTTGTGTAATAATTAAGACAGTTGTCGAAAAATAAAATAAACTTTGCCTGGTTACCTTATGATTTTCAACGTGGTATTAGGTAACACATAAGTAGGCTGTAACGTAGTCCGCGTAACTTGGACCCAACTTATCGCCTTTTTTAACATTCGGACGTGGACCAGACCATGTCCGAATGTTAAAAAAGGCGATAAGTTGGGTCCAAGTTACTCAGACTAGCTGTAACGAGGATCTTAAGGTTTTTAACTTAAGGTATTGAAAACATGCAAAAGCCTACAACTTAGAAAATAGACTGGCAACTGAAACAACCAGTCCAACAGAACACGACCGCTTCAGTACTGCATAATCAACTGTGCCAAAGGCAACATCTGGCATGTCTGGTAGTCTCTATTTTTACACATTTCTGGTCGGCCACCAGAATGACACTGAATGAAAAGGTCAGTCTTTTCAAACAGTTGGACCTACTCCTAGAACTATGAGGCTCCACGTAGTGAGCCTCATAGTTCTAGGAGTATAAGTTGGACCATGGTTGGACATGTACCAGTCTAGTCTTTAGCCGCGTTTTGAAATCCCTTGACTTCCCTCTCATGTGCAAAATATTGAAGCAAAGTCTCCTTTAAAAATTGAATTGAGTCTGCAAACTTGGATGGTGAAATGCTGAGGACCTTTTTTTTGTCCAATGCAGATTTGGAGAAATTTTTCTGACTAAAGAGTGAGTATTTAATTAAAGTTGGCCTGATTTAGTTTTGCATGTTTCTGAGCACTCTAGGTCTCAGTCTGCCTCTGGATGCTCGGTTTGGAGGTCACAAGTTCAAACCCCTCTCCAGTCAATATCTTTGTTCTTTTATAATGCGACAGTCACGTTTCTGTTGTGGTTTATTTCAAAACAAAATTAATGAAAACTCTACATTCTTGATATGTCATTTTCACAGGTGCTTGTACAGTCTACTGAAACCCATGCTGTTCCTGCTACTGATCAGCCTCCCTCTGGGAGTCCTGCTCTTCTACGCACTGAGGAGAAGAGTCCAGCAGGTAGGCCGGCGTCAGTACGCTCACCTGAGGGAGCGAGGCCAGGACGGGAGAAAGCCGGTGGTGGTAGGCTTCTTCCACCCGTACTGCAATGCGGGAGGGGGCGGGGAGCGGGTGCTGTGGTGTGCCATCGCGGCTCTGCAGGAAAGGTGTGGTAACTCGTACTTGGTACTTGGTTGGTTCTTCTCCTAAGGACTTCCACAAGGGAGTATAACTAGGAGGCCAGAAACACCGGGGCAAACCCCTTCTCTTAGCAATAAGTGTTACTGGGTTCTTTTATGTGCGTTAGGCCTTATACAACACACGGGACCTCCGGCTTAACGTCCCATCCGAAGGACGAAGCAATAATGGTCAAGTGCCTTGCTCAAGGGCACCAGTGTCTGGGCCCGGGCTCGAACCCACGCCACTGTTGCCTCTGAAACACCAGAGCATAAGTCCGGTGCTCTTAACCGCTAGGCCATGACACTCCATTCGTACCTTGTACAATGAAACCGGTGACTGCTCTATGTTCTGACACCCCTATGTTCCGACAGGGTTAGGGTTAGGGTTAGGTACAGGAATAGGAATATGTGCAGTCAAAACATAGGGGTGTTGGAACATAAGGGTCATAGGGGTGTCGGAACATAGAGGTGTAACCAATGAAACCTTCTGGAAAAAAGGTCCTCTTAAGGCCTTTTCTCTCTGTTGTATTGCCTTCCTTCATTGAAATAAACACAGGCACACCGTGAGCAGACCCTTGGCAGAGCTGAAATTAGTTGGCGAGACATGTCTTCACATTTTTTGCCAGTCAGTGCACGGATGGCCTAATAGTACTGTTCAATTTTCTATGTTTGACCCTCTCAACCCAGATCCTGACAAGGATTGAATTTTACATGTGCAGAGCAGTGGACTTGTTTAGAAGTCTTGTTAAATTATTGCTAGCGTTAAAGGGGTTCCCAAAATCCCAATGTTGAACCTTATTCTGGTCTGTAAGTTCCAGAATTCGATTTAGTCTGATCTGATATAGTGGAGCTCTGTGGCCTCGTGATTTAAGGGCATCAGATTTGTGGTCTGCGGGTAATTCTGCAGGTTGTGGGTTCGAGTCCTGCCTGGGTCATGGTGTTTGTGCCCTTGGGCAAGGCACTTTGTCACTCATTGCTTCTCTCTACCCAGGAGTAAATGGGTACCTGTGAGGGCAGAGATGGTTATTGTGGTTGATTTAGCTTCCTTGCGCCTAACAGGCTGCATCGAGCTGTATACTCCCCAGGGAGCTGAGATGGTATTTGGAATGTTTCATGGGCCCAGTGAGCAGGGGTAATAATGATGTAGCGCCTTGAGCACCAGTCCTGGTGGATACGTGCGCTTTATAAATAGCCACTATTATTATTTTATTTCATTTACTCTTTTTTGATTAACGTTTCTTGCAGGTATTCCTATGTGAGGTGTGTAGTCTACACAGGTGACAGTGATGTCAGAGGGGAGGAGATCGTACGCAAAGCCAAGCAGCGCTTTAACATCACCCTCACCAAACCCGTGGAGTTCGTCTTCCTCAAGAAGCGTCATCTTGTCGAGGCCGAGACTTACCCTTTCTTCACCCTCCTGGGCCAGAGCCTGGGCTCCGTGATTCTGGGCTGGGAGGCCCTGACGAACTGCGTCCCGGACGTCTACATTGATTCCATGGGTTACGCATTCACCCTCCCGCTTTTTAAGTTCCTCGGGCTGTGCAAGGTGGGCTGCTACGTGCACTACCCGACCATCAGCACCGACATGCTGAGCCGCGTCGCGCAGCGGACAGCCACGTACAATAATCCAGGCTTTGTCGCGAGGAGCCGTGTGCTCAGCTCTCTCAAGTTGGTCTACTACCGCCTGTTCGCGCGGCTCTATGGCGTCATGGGCGCGCGCAGTGACGCGGTGATGGTCAACTCGTCGTGGACTAATGGACACATACAAGACATCTGGCGGGTACCGGAGCGGACAAGCGTCGTGTACCCGCCGTGCGACACGGACGCGTTCCTCCAACAGCCGTTGGCGCCGGAAGAGGGACGCAAGAAGCACGTCATCGTGTCCATCGCGCAGTTTCGACCGGAGAAGGACCATCCTCTACAAGTCAAAGCCTTCAACGAGCTCCTGCGGCGGTATCCAATCAAAGAGCGCGAGAGCCTCAAGTTGGAGCTGATTGGCAGCTGTCGTAACCAAGGCGACGCTGATCGCATCGACATGCTGCGCGAGATGTGCGAGGAATTCAACATCCGCCCAAATGTGGATTTCCTGCTGAACATTTCATTTGACGATCTCAAGGCACATCTGTCTGCTGCCACCATTGGTTTGCATACTATGTGGAATGAACACTTCGGTATAGGTAGGTTCCAAAAAAAGGAAAGGAATAATCAGATTTCAAAAGGCCAGTACAAACCGCGAATGACTCTGAATGCAAAGTGAATTTTATGTCATAAAATTCAGAGGGTTAGAAATGTGTTCAACTTTTGTATAGAGCATCCCTTTTTATTTGTAGGGTGCTCCTATTTATTAGCCTCTGAAATAGGGTGGGTCAGTCGGCGAAACGTAAAAAAGTTGCGCCCACATAGATAGCTAAATTAAATTATGCAAAGTGTGTATTGTCTCTGGTTTTTTAATTGGCAAGAGTTTATATCGTGATTTGATATCACTGAACTAATAAAGTCAGTTTTGGCAAGATTTAGTTGACTTGCATTATATCTGCAGCATGCAGCTCACTAATGTTCTGGCTGTAGCAGCAGCCACGACATAACAGTAAAGTAGACCCAAGATACGTTGATGGGCAGCAACGTCGCATCTTCTGGAATTGCATTAGTTGCTATATGCTGTGCTTCCTTTGAAGTTGGATGTTATTTTGTGATAGCTTTTCAAATAAAGGCTGGTTCATACTCGGCGCGACAGCGAACGCAAACGCGAATTTGTGACGTCAGGACAAGTTTTTCGCACTGCCAATTCACAAAAGTTGAACACATTTCAAGTCTGGCAAGTTTCGCGGCGAATTTGATGTCACACATCAAATTCGCATTGCATTCGCAAGACGTATGTCACAGAGCCTGATTACTTTAATTTGATAGTTATTTGTTTCATTAATTTATTTTTGTGTAAGGAGGGTTTTTTTTTAGACAGGGTCAGCAGTAATAGAATTTTAAAAATATCTTAGTTCCGGAGCCAAAAATAAGGTTGATCGGAAATGTGAACCAAAGACTGAAAAAAAAGGGATGCCCTAAAGAATAAACAGAAGTAAATTATTATTATTATTCAATTTTTCTTTATTTCATTTAAATTGAAAACAAAAAACAGGTGTAGTGGAATGCATGGCCGCAGGGACAGTCATCGTTGCCCACAACTCGGGAGGCCCCAAGATGGATATCGTGGTGGACGTCGACGGCAAGATAACGGGGTTCCTCGCGGACGACGTGAAGAGCTACGCCGACGCCATGGAAACCATCCTCAAGATGACGCCGGAGGAACGGCTGGAGATCCGACAGAGCGCGAGGGAGTCAGTGGGACGATTCTCGGAGCAGGAATTCAAAAACGGTTTCCTTGCTGCGACAGAAGTGCTAATAAACTAATTAAACAAAATGTGGCCTTTTTGACCAACTTTAAAATATCCCGTTTCAAGCAGGTAGTGACAAAATCGATGTGCATGCTGAATCTATCGAATATTTGAATATGTGAGCATCTAATGAATATCCGTATAGCATTTTTTTTTATTCAAATATTTGACAAATGCGACCGGTGTCGAGAAGATGAAGAGAAAGGCCTGTGATGTCATTTCAATCATATATTTACCCTAACTCCCTAGCGTCTTTTACTCGGGAACTGAATCAAGTCCATCAAAATCCATCAATCAGTGTGCTTCCAGTACAAAACTGTACATGACATAATGGAATCCACCACTGATGCACTGGTTGACATTCATGGACTTGCTACACATGGCTTTTATCACAATAGCAGTACAGGACTCTAGGCTAAATCAATCAGATACCCCTAGCACTGCTGCAGGCCATTAGGCCCAAGTCCATCATACTCCATCAATATTTAATCACGCCAGGCCTTCTGGACCAAGTCCCCTAAAATCCACCAAAATGGGGGGATGGATTTTGATGGAGTTGGGGTGGTTAGGGTTAAAGTTGATATCTTTTAAAATCTTTTAAGTATCGATGCTAGTCAGGTATGTCTACAAAATGTATTGATACATGATGTTCTTAATATTTTTGACGCAAATCCTGATCAGTGGACCATTTAATTCCCAATTAAAGCACGCAAATTTCAACCGCATGCATCTTCTGACTGGCACGTGCAATTGCCAACTGGCAGAGGCAATTTATGCCTGCACGTGTTAAACTTGTCTTGTGTGTTTCGAATATTTGAATGTACGATTCAATCCAAATTTGAACGTAGTCTGCATATCACCCATTGTCCGACGGAGCCATCTCAGGCTCTGGTCTAATGTCTGATATTAAGCAAGCAACATCGTGACGCCATTACTAAAATTGGGACGCCATTACTAAAATCGTGACACCGTTTCATTCGGAAATCTGGACTAAATTGTTGATTGGTCAATTTCGATGTCGTGTTTTTGTAATTCATTAACGGGCAAAGAGATCAAATAAAACCTAGACACGACATTGGCTCTCAAAACTGTTAGCAAAATGCTGTGCGTATAGAATACGTCAAGTCTCATCGTGGATGTGAAGTGACGCGCAAGAGGGTGTTCGTATTACTTGCGGTTTTTAAAAATATGACGTGATGATCATTCGAAGCCGCAGGACGTTTGCGCACCGCGTAATATATCATTATTATTATTATTATTAATCATTGCTGGTAATGAAACCAAGGATTCCTCAAAAGCGCCCTGGGCACTGTAGCTCGCAAGCCTGAAGAAACCTGTGGAGAGAAGACAATGAGAAGAAATTACCATTCTAGACGTGGGAGGAAAAGCCCAGAAGAATATTCTGGGGAAAACCCACAGAATCAGGCAGGGACTGAAAACCCAATCCACATATTGGCCCAGGCAGGATTCGAACCCGGGTCACAGCGGTGGAAATCGAGGAAAGTACCGCTACGCCAACAAGGGCGGATCCAGGGGGGGGCCAAAGGGGGCCATGGCCCCCCCCCAAAACGAAACCAATTTTTTTTTTTTTAAGTGACATCGCAATAAAGGCAGGCAATTAGTACACCACCATCTTTTCCTCAAAAAAACATTGGTTAAAGTGGTCAGAAATTGCCTCAGATCGCACCACAGAGCATCTAGAATCCAAAATTTTTTCGGGGCACTTAAGCGGGCCCCGAACCCCACGCCGTAATTTTTTTGACCCACTTTTTTGGGGGACCAAATTTTTTTTTGGCCCCCCCCAAAATTGTGTTCTGGATCCGCCCTTGTACGCCAACCTGACTCCCCTAATATCGTTACAGGTCGCATGCCTCTTTTTGCTCAATTCACAACTTAAAAGCATAATTGATGCCGTGTCTAGGTTTTATTTAAATAGATGTGACAACGGGCTACCGAAGACCCGATATAGAAGGCGCCCACTGAATGGTTAGAATCTCGAGGTCAAGACGCAGTCTTGTTTTGCATAATTCATCGCTGAAATCTGCTCGCATATCATAGACCCTTACTGTGCAAGGGGATACTCCATCTAGTTCGAAAGGTCTTATACTTAATTATTTAAAATGTCACAGCTGTAGTAATACTTTCTGTTAGATGGGGATGTTTTGCCACTTGTCAGTGCAATAGTAAAGTAACACTCAAGTTGGGTTTTGCCCTTCACCGACGTACACTGTATACTCAGTATGTTACCTCCCGAGTGAAAGTGGGGGGGAAAAAAGGTGAAGGGCTAAACCTAATTTGATTTACATCACCCGACGCAAAAACATTTTGCATCTTACGAATGAAGTAATACTCGTTGCACATTGACGCCAACCCATTATGAAACGGCAAATGAAAAAGGAGCGCAGAGTGATTCTAGAGCGTCTTGACTTGTCTGTTAGAGTTGACCCGAGTCGCTCCAAATGCGTTATGGTAATGTAGACAGCCAATCTGAAACTACTCTTGGTCCAGGGCTAGATTCAGATTTTTTATTCCCCTAAAACGGCCAGCCCCTGGCATGCGCGGTAGGAGTCACCATCAATAAGATTGATCAACTCCAGTCTTGGAAAATTTGGCAGTGCAACACTGACAATTAAAGAGGTTGTGGAATGCTCGAAGACATTTCCGTCATTTTTTGGGTATATGTAGCCTGAGGTGCGATGAAATAAAAACGACTATTGTTTCTGTCATAAAATGAGTACAAAAAGTACTTTTGAGAGCTGTTTTTCAAGTCCTGTCATGCCTGTTTCGACCCGAACGTGCAATTTGTGTAAAAGTCGTTGTTGCGGGCAGCAAACAAAACACAGTAAATCGTGACGTTATAAACAGGACTCCCGATGCAGAGTAGCATAAACGAGTCCTGTTTATTACGTCACGATTTACTGTGTTTTGTTTGCTGCCCGCAACGACCACTTTTACACAAATTGCACGTTCGGGTCGAAACAGGACCTGGAAAATAGCTCTCAAAAGTACCCTTTGTACTCATTTCATGACAGAAACAATAGTCGTTTTTATTTCATCACACCTTAGGCTACATATACCCAAAAAATGACGGAAATGTCTTCGAGCATTCCACAACCTCTTTAACCTATCGCAGTAGAAATGCATCAACGCAGCTTGTGAAATATTGTCCTATGACATGATGTACAAATGGATGCGGAACGCATGGGAACTAGTCACAATATGCGTTGTATGACCTTTTTAGGAGCTGGTATTCTACCAATACCTAGCAAATTTCTGTGGATCTATGAAATTGGCTCGAGATCTATTCTAGTCAAAGTCGCAGGTGCAGTGCCTTACTTTATCATACAATTAATCAGTGTGCTCGTTAGTTGCCATGGAAACAGGCAGAGATATGAATGCATTTCTAGTAAATTTTCGCATTAAGCAAATGATAATTATGTGATTCTCTATTCCAAATCCAAATTTTAAAATGTATGTGAATACGTATGTTAGTTTCTAAAAAAAGAAAATTGTAAGAATTATATTTTCGCAATGTGTTTTAAACTTACCAGAATTTATTATTCCATGTTAAAATATCTCAGAACCGACAATATTCTGGTCTGAAATATTCAACTAAATATGATTTGTTATAATAACTACTAATTTCTTTTTAAATGTTCTATTGATCATTTGTTTAAATTAAAAATTTCATTAACATCATTTGGATGCTTTTGTGGATTCATAAGCAAGTTATCTGTAATAAATTGAGAGTTTCCCACCCTGTATTAAATAATGAAAGGTTGCGGAAACACCATGTGCGAATAATTTCTCAACTAAGAGAATGGTTCTGAAAAGAACCAGAGGTATAAACTCGACATTCCGGTCAGTATGCTCTGACCGTCTTCAGGAGAGAACCATTCTCTTAGTTGAGAAATTATTCGCACATGGTGTTTCCGCAACCTTTAATTATTTAGTATCTCCATGATGCAAAGCCTCAAATCTTACTCGCCCTGTATTATCACATCACATACAATTTAACAAAAAAATATAAACTTGAAACGAGAAATTGGCTGCAATAGGGTTTGAACCTGGGACCTCCAGATTGCGATTCTAGTTCTCTACCAACTGAGCTATCCAGCCCAATGTTGATAATTACGTGCACTTTATTATTAATACACATTTTCCAATCCTAGGTATTACAGGACAAAACATTTATAACTCTGATGCTTGATTTCCCAAATTTTCAACTTTATCAGAATCATGTTTGACTTTTACGCTGGCTCAATAAACCAACATGTCAACTGCATATCAATATTATCAGCTGGTTTTGTTGGGTTCGTTTTGGTTGTAATTTCCTTTTTCATGTGTATTAAAGGGCTATGCAATATAATGATTTAATGCAAACCTTTGAAATGTACCTTTTTGTCCCATTAAACCCCTATTTTCAATTTTTGTTTTACCATTTTCAAGGGTATTTTGGTTCTTTTTTGATTATTATGCTGATCCATATTCATGACAAAAGTGTGATGTCATTTCAGGCAGAAACCTCAATGTTTCACCTATTTCAAGACCACTTTTTAGACAGTTTGCTGTTGTAAATTTTTTGTTCTTTGGTGATTACTTGTTGTGGCAGAACATGGCAGTAAACCAATGAGCAAATTTTTCTCACAAATATTTTCAATAAGCCGGCAAATTTTTGGGTTCACAATTTAAACAGAAAACCCCCAAACTGAACGTGCATCAGTTCCTGAAATGACATCACACCAACAGCTCACTCAGTTGTCCGGTAAAGCATGGAACATTTTAAATGTTTAATAAAATTATAAAAAAAATGGGATGTCAATTAGTTTTCATACATTTAAGAGGGGTACAAAGTTGCACCAAATATACGTTTCTGGAAAAATTCACACCCCTTTAAGGCCGGGTTCATACTCGCAAAAGCAACAAAAATTTGTAATGTCATGATAAATATTCGTGCTGCAAATTCGAAGAAGGTGAACAAATTTCAAATCGGACGAATTTTTCAGCGAATGTTTCATGACATCAAATGCGCTTTGCATTCACATTGATTATGAACCGGGCTGAATTAAAGGTATATCATGGCAGCAAAATTTCAATGTGCTTTTTCTGCAGTAAGACTTAAATCAGAAATGTTTTTGTGTTACGCTCAAACTTAACGAATTCTTGTTTTGTTGTATTTTGTTACATAAATTTGCATAGAACATTTTCAAGCAATCTTAATAGCGCCCCCCCCCCCTCCCCCAGAAAAACTCCCTCTTAATTTGCCCCAACTTTCTGTCATGCATCAGTGCAGTTATGAATAGCGCCCTCTCTCGTCCACGTTGGATTATCACTTGATCAGCTCTTCCGTCACCGGATTTTCGCCACTAGCCACCCTCGCAGTTTTTGCTGTTTTCAGCTGTTTAAGAAGGACACTTCCACCAAAACAAGTTTATTTACGCATTTGGAAATATCTTCGGCAGTCTTTCGCAGAAAAACCGGCTCCCGCTACTGGAGGAAAAGTAGACGAAATATCAGGTTTACTCGCACACTTGGATTAGCCTACTTTTGAAAACAACCTACGAACTCGAGCGTAAACTAGGTGAACGAAGATGGCGATTTGCAGCCTGAGGTGATTTTCGTTTGCTTGAGAGAGGTCAACACAGTTCTCTCCGCTCTTTGGCTCCAAACATGTCTGGAAAAGCTGAGAACATGCAGCCACCGCCGAGGAGAGTGAGTATTCTTACACTCTTTGCCAATTTGACATGGATAACAATGTCTTTGTTGTTTCAAAACATCGATTTGGCCGGTTTGTTTTTCTTTTGTGTTTTGTTTTGTTTAGTTGAAACTCGGCCAAGAGCTGCGAACAGTACAGAATGAGCAAGTGTCCAGTCTGCACTCCAAGTTTCAACAGGAGTCGGAGTTATTAGAAGAAATAAGGTAAGTTTAAATTGATCAGCTGTTTTACGAGTTTACTTTGATCGTATTCGTAACTTTCATTGTTTAATTTCAACGTAAACAAAGAATTTCATTAATTTTTTTCTGAGTAAATTATTTTGAGTAATACGCCTATCATATGTCCCCGCCCCCCCCCCCCCCCCCGGCACGGCCCCCCCCCCCCCAGGTCTGATGTCCGGATTTGTTCATGTTTTTCATGCCCCCAGGGTGGGGATTTTGGTCACGTCACTCAAATTACAATGTTGATGGTACCATTGGGGTACTACATGGAAAGGCAATAGTCAGCCCCACGTACGTACATGTATGTGGGGGATTGTCACTTAAATTTTGCTCGAGGGGTAGGGATTTTGTCACTTCAAAAGTGACAATCCCCGCGTCTTGGGTGGGCCAGCCCGGGGGGGGGAGGGGGGGGGGGGGTAACAATTGATAGGCACATAATGATAACAATTGCAATCTTGCACCAAGTCAAAGTGCGAAAAGAATACACTTTTATTTTGTCAGGAGCTAGGACAGTAGGAGGGAAAAAAACATTGAAATTGGCTGAATACTAGTTGTGTTTATTTGTAAAAAGAAAGTATATAGTGAAGAATATCACTGATTTGCTTGTGTGTACTGAGTCACTTAAAAAAGTTAAAGAAATGAAATCAGCCAGGTAAATTACTAGTTTCAGAATGCTTTGTGTTTGGCGTACGTGTAAATTTATATCAACTAATCTCTGTTAGTATATTTTACATTCAACAGGGAATTTTCTAAACAACGATCATCTATAGAGCGGACATATGCCCAGGTGAGTGAATTGTTTCCAACAAAATCCATGTAAATTCTTTCATAGCAACCAAGTATGTAAAACTTGAGTTTACTGTTACACTGCTTGGCATGAGACTGTCAATGCTACGTCCCAACGATCGCAACAAAACTATAGTTGGGACTGTCCCAGCTATGGTGAGGGCAATTGCTGTAGAGGGGTGTAACATCAACAAACTTGGGCTTGTTAGGCCAAGTAAAAAAAAAAATGTTTAGCGTCCTGCTTTTTGAAAAAAAGGAAGGAGGAGGACCTTTTTTTTGTCCTTCCAAAATGGCCGCCTGACTGGGCTATTTTTCAAGATGGCCACCAGCTTTTTTTGTTAAATGGCCGCCACTTGGACTCAGGAATTACATACAAGCAAAAATTGGACTCCAAAAATGCTGATGCACTAGCAATCTGTAGGCAGTGACATCTTTTGAGAGAGATCTATACTAAGTTGAACTCTAGGTACTATGTAATAACTGTATTTTTTTGCTGGTCCCAGAGGGCCAGCCTACTGTCCTCTTTGTACCTATCTCACTGACTGACCATTGCTTGTGAGCTGGGCAGTGCTATTGTATAGGATTACCCCATAACACCAACGAATGGGCCAAGTCCCACCCCATTGTGTAGACCAGATGCATGAAAAGACTTCCAGTGAATGGCCATCCTACGGAAGCGTACATAACCATCCGTGTTACTGCGTTACTGAGATAAAATATCTTGGAAACATAGAGTTCCATCATAAAATATCTGTACTACTCGGAATGCAGCGATAGCCCATCATGAAAATGCTCTATTCCATGAAAGCCTATCATGGAAACGTGGAAATCTGTGGTAGGTTATCGTGGAAACGTGGCATTCCGTGATAGGCCGTCATGAATAAGTGGAATTCCGTGATATGCTATCGTGGAAACGTGGAATACTGTGATAGCCTATCACCCAAAACGTGGAATACCGCGGTAGGGAATCTCAGCAACATGGAATTTCGTGATGTTTTATCCTGGCAAAGCGAAATGCCATGGTATCGTTAGCCTATAACACGTTTCCACGATAGCTCATCACGTATTTACAAGCTTGCACGATAGCCTATCACCGAATTCTATGTTTCTGTGATAGGCTATAACGATATTCCACGTTTCCGCGATAAGCTATCACATTATTCCACGTTTCCACAATAGCCTATCACGGAATTCCACATTTCTGTGATAGGCTATCACAGTATTCCACGTTTCCATGATAGCCTTTTAAGGAATTCCATGTCTCTAAGATATTTTATCTCAGTAACGTAGTAACGCGAAGGGTCATATACGCTTCCGTACCATTCTGAATCAATTGAATACAATTTCTGTGCACTGACTGTGCTCTTGGGACTAGATTTGCGGTCTTGCCTTGTCTTGGTCTGGTATGCCATACCCTGGCACAGTTCCCAGCAGGGACACCTCAAGTTGAAATCACTGAAGCCAAGCAAGCTAAACACTGTTCTTAATTGAAGCAAATGAAGCGTGGACATGAATTCCCAAATGGGTCAAGTGGCTTTTTACATAATAGGCTAAACAGTGAACAAGTTTGAAACAGATGGTCAACCTGCATGGGCCTGAGCACAATACTAGTTAAAGTGATCAGCTTTGACAAAGTAGTATAAATGTTCAAACCCCTTCTTGTTTGTTTTCATTGAACATGTACTTGGGAGACAATTCATTATTGTAGTTTAAGGGATAATTAATACAGACAGACCATGGGGAACCTTTCCTTTTATGTTGACAACGTACACGTAGGCCTATTGAAGAAAATGGAATGCAATCAACAGACTACCAACAGACTATCTGTAGAAACAGATTTCAGCTTTTTAAAAATCTCAGTGAGTGTGTGCAAAATAGATAGCATAAGGCCCAAAAAAAAAAGTCTCCGGTTTCTGGTATGCATGCGCGTCGCCGTAGCCATGCGCGTCGGCAAAATGAAAAAGTTTTTTTTTTCAATGAAAGATGATTTCTCAAAACCGCCAAACTCTCTGGTTTGACCGGAATCCTGCTGCTGCACAATTTTAACGTGTTTTTAGATTGGGTTATGGTCGAGAATAAGCTTTATAATGTGGCCTCTCTGGACTTCCATATATTTGCACTAAGTTTAGTCGGGCACCATTTGCAGTCATCAGCCGACATTTGAAGCAAAAAAATCAGGTAAAAAAAAAAAAAAGCCGCGTCGCCGCACCACTTTTTGGGCAAGCTCCATACCAGAAACCGGAGACTTTTTTTGGCCTAATGAAATAAACAGGATTTTCTTAGCTCCATTCCATCTAGATCATGGTGCTCAAGATCATGGAGCATTGAAAATGAAATGATTTCTGTACGCATGTTCAAGTCCAAGCATAGTCTTCATGCACTCCTTTGGCTGGTTTTGTGTGTCAAATTTGTTCACCAAATTGTTCACTCTTCACAGTTTCACAGTTGAAAGGGGTTTAATAATTTCCTGGCAAACAGAACAGAAATTTACATGTAGTATATATTTTCCTTGCTTTGTGACCACCAACGGGATTGGTGGATTTTTATGTTTTGATTAACGCTGAAAGTTTTTTTCTAAAATACTGAAAAAAACTTATGAAAATAGCACTTTGGGTTGCTGAGAAAATGCCAGTTATGTAAAAGTAGTCATTTGCATCCTGTACACATCACTTCAAACAGTGAAACATTTTACTGTAAGCCTAATGTGCAATTATATGTATCCTTCATTTGTGCAATTTCTTTAGTATTTTGACATATTTATGATGCTGAAAAGGTTTTAAAAAGGACTAAAAAGGATGAGATACCTGTACTGGTACCTGTTCAGCATGTTCAGGTGGGAAATGGGGTATTTCCATCAAATTCATTTGTACTGTTGTCATATTACATGTATGTGCCGTGTTGTTCAAATAGGTACAGTGAAAATCCCATGCTGTGGTAATTGTTTGTGTACAGGATGAAAATGACTACTTTTACTTAATTGGCATTTTCTCAGCAACCCATAGTGCTATTGTCATGATTTTTTTTTTTCAGTATATAAAAGAAAATGTTCTTAGCATTAATCTGATACCCAAAACATAAAAATCTCTTCTTTTTTTTAGGCAAACGTTTTAAGGTTGTATTTTTTTTGGGTCACCCTGTATACTGTGGCCCAACAACCCAGAAACGCACAGGTTTTTATGCTGCTCTTCATTATGTCACATTGGCAATGCCAGTACTCTTTTAAGGCCTTATCAGTGCAGTTAGCGAATTCTTATCAAGAATTGATAATGGGGTCCCCTCCTAACCACTACTGTTGCATAAATATTTGTACTGATGGCACTCCATAGGCCACAAGTTTAGATCACTTTAAACAGCTCAGCTCCCACTAGCTGGGTGGCATCGTAAAGTTTGTATTGTTTGCGCTACTGCATGTTTTAAGGAGTTTTAAGTGGAAAAAGAAAGTTCAAAGTTTAGGATATGAAACATCTTGCGTGAAGGAAAGCCTACACATTTGTGTGGCAAACAATTTGTAAGACAATGGGCCCTGTTACATGTATGCCAACAGGCAACTTCTGGGAGTCTTTTACATGTGGATAGGCCCAGAACCATTTAGCCGTTCGCTGAAAGTTAATGTTAAAACTAAAAGAGAAAAAGGTTACAAACTGTAACGTGAGTAACTGTAACATCACTTACTGAAAGCCCTCTGGCAATTTTAAGACTGACTATTTTTTAATAATTCTAGTGATAGAATATGACTTTATACCCTAATTGACCTGTCGCCATTTGCGAGTTAGCCACACCCCTTAGACAACCCTATGGAATTGTTTGTACGCTAAGTTCTGTTTTTCCCAGTTATATCATGAAATTGGACAATACCGGTATTTCACAAGCTGCGTTGACGCGATTCTAACGCGATTCTACCGCGATAGGTCAGTTATGTAAGGGCACTAAAATGATATTTCCATCAGTGCACAGTACGTGTACAATGTACAATGTATGAGGAAAACATTCCAATGCAAAGTACCGGTACCATGAGTTACCCAAAAAAACCACTTATTACCAAACCAATTCAAGTTCTTTTTGTTGGCCCTTTTCTGTTGTACAGGTAGTTTAGTCACCTAATTTCAAGGGATGAGAAACATCCACCCTTAATTCCTTGACCTTATATAACAACAGCACAGAGTTGACGGAAAAGTCAAGTCTGTCACGAGCCAATGTGGCCCATTAGGCCGGCGTTTATCTCCGGTTTCAGTAGCATGAAACGAATGAGACTATTTCTACTCCCCCTGGATGAGATGCTGGTCCATCGCAGGTTACTCACCAGCTAATGCCAGTACCCATTTATAACCCCAGGGTAGACCCTCTGATCATGAGTCACGAACCCGAACAGCTAGGCCACACTCCCCAGTTGACGGAAGACACCCTGCATATGTAAATTACGCTGGAGTCTCTAAACCCGAGTTGAACTCAACCCTGGGCGAACGCAGTGCTGCCCTGGGTTGAGTTTTTTATTTTCCAACCCGGCGTTCAACCCCGCATCATTTCACACTTGTTTCATGCAAATCAAGCTTATCATGCTTAGTTACTACTGTTTTGAACCCTGGCAAGAATTTCAACCCGGGTTGAAAATCTCAACCCTGGTCTTGAGCAGGGTTGAGTTCAACCCTGGGTGAAATCAATCTCGGGGTTGACGCAGGATTGAAATTCTTCAAGTGTGAAACGATGCATGTTTTCAACCCTGCGTCAACCCAGAGATTTGTCTAGTGTGAAAAGGGCTTAACAGGAGATACCGTGGCATGATATGTTTTAAGTATCTCGGAGGGTGATCTTTGTTACTTTGAAATAGTAACAAATAATGTACAAATGTACAAAAGGTTTGCTCAATATCTCAGCGATACGAAACCATTGCCATCCAACTCCACCTTAATGCATAATGTCTATTTGGATACTGTATTTAAACTTAAATTTGAATGACAAAAAGTGCAACCGTTTTAAAGGGAATACAACATTTGCTTTTGCTGT